CTTCAAGTTCACGCTCGCTACGATCTCCTCCAAGATTCCATTATTAGGAATGTCGAGATATACATATCATGTTGACCAGCGTCCAACCAGCCTAAACGAGACTTGACATGGTAGTACAGAGTATAGAGGCCATGGATCGAACTTGACAAGGTGAGGCTTGACGCGGTGAGAGTCAGGGTTTGTCACAGCGTCACATATGCCGGGTCACAGGCGCGACCGCGACAGGATCGCGTCAATTTCACTTGACTCTTCTACCCTACACTCGTACCTCGCTTCGAGGTAGAATACCCAATCAATTTTCTTCCATTTTGCAACTTGAACGACATTCAAATCGAGGACGTTCTTCGAATTCAGAGCGCCGGTGTTCAAACTTCGACCATACGCGCTGGCTACCCTCTTGTGCTCGAAAAGGTCGCTATCGGAGGCTTTGTGTGGAGGCTTTATTCCGAGCAATACAAGCATTGCAACATCCACCAAGACGTCCTTGAACGGCCACAAAGTTTCTCGTTCCACGAGGAACCTGACTTTCCTCGGTATTCGGAATTATTTCAATAATCTTGAAAAACATGTTCAGAAACACAATCACGAACTCCTAGGCGTCCGTCGGGTGCAGTTTTCGGTTGCGTGTTCCTCGCGTGGTTCAGCGCAGACGTTGCTTCAGGAACCGAAGGAATTGAAAATCCCAATAGAAGATCACTACTCCGAAAATCACGCCCCTCTTCCACCTGCTCAGCGCTCTGACTGGCGGCTAAGAGCCACTTCGCGCACGAACCGTACTCAACTATCCGACGGTCAACGGCACAGGAGATACATCAGACGTGTAAGTCCTCCCCACATTCAGGTGCAACAGGGAGAGCCGTTTTTCGAAGAGATTCAGGCATATAATAAACAGTTCGTCGCTCTTTTCAACTTTGCATTTGTATTAAATTAGTCGCTCGCAGTTTTTTGTCCCTACTGGAACTTGAACAAAACGAGGATGAGGCAGTTCTGAGGGAGCGGCTGTCTACTTGGTCGTTGTTTCGATTACAAGAAGAAGGGTATACTATAACGGGTCTTTCTGCTTTTTGGATGGGCGCACCAAAGTTTGGACGTCCTGTGGCTTCATTCTCCCTTGGTCCTGGCATCGATTTGCCAGAACATAGGTTTGAGTGAGTTTTCGTTTCGATCTGAATCTTGTGACGCGCTTACTGTGTTCAGGAACGGTACCCAAGTTCTTGTTTCAAGGTTCGATCCTCTTCAAGAGCCACCACTCCGAGGAAGTATCATTAGCAAAACTGCATCGCAGCTGCGCATAGCATTTGAGGAGAAGTTCGAGGTTGAGGACGGTTGCTGGCGCTTGGACGTTGGGCGGTCCAACATCGTGTTTATTCGTATGCGAGAAGCCATTACTCGATTCAGTCAAGACCCGGAAGCACTAGAAGACCCAACTAATTTGATTTCCCCTCCAAACAATCAGTTTGTTCTTCATGGGACACATTTGCGAGACGTCCTGTTACGTTCATTTTCGCCGGATAGACCATCACTACATGTACCGTTGCAACATCCAGATGAGGTCAGGTACGTGCCTCGAGGGAGACTTGAGCATGACAGTCGCGAGGTGCGAGAGCACGGAGGCGCGTTCAAAGAAGACATGCATATTCAAAGCTGGGCAAGACGATACTCACGGATCAATCCAATTGTAATTGATGGTGATCCGGTCCTCGAGGGCCTGAATGCTACGCAGATTAGAGCTATCGCCATGATGATCGGCGAACGGATCAGTCTTGTGCAAGGAGTACGTTTCATCTTGTCAAAGTAATATTGAAAGCTAAATGACATGCATTTCAGCCGCCTGGTACAGGCAAAACGAAAACTATCATTGAAGCCGTGAAATTACTCAAGGTTCGATATCCTTGGTATCGATTTGATTTTTGTGTTCTGATATGTTATCAAGGTCCATTTCGAAGTGCATCACCCTGTTCTGGTCTGCACTTATACCAATGTTGCGGTCGATAATCTCGTGGAGGGTTTTGCAGCGGCTGGCGTGAAACCCCTCCGTGTCGGGTTCGGTGCTAAAATCAAATCGTCTCTACACGAATATACCTTAGATGCGAAGCTGGAGGCGCATCCTTTCAGGGTTAAAGTCGAGCAACTTCTGAAAGACCAGGAAAACGTCGAAAAAAAGCTAGGCGCGCTGGAGGACAAGATGGTTGCGGCTGAAAAATCGAGCAATGAAAAGCTTGGCAGGATGCGGACTGCTTTCACCGTATTGGAAAGGCAACTTTTGGCGCTGAGAGCGAAACTGTATGCGCTTCATCAGGAAATGCTCAACGATATCACGGCTGCGGCTGACGTAGTGGGTAATCCACTACCTGCGCCACTTTGCCTCGGACTGATGACTCCTTGGCAGATTTGCACAACATGCATCACATCTGCCAGTGCCGCGCTTAATATTCTTGATTTTCCAGTCGTGTTCCTGGACGAGGCTTCCATGTCGACAGAACCAGCATCACTCATTCCGCTGATGCGAGGAGTGAGCCGATTGAGCTCTTTCCCGCGTTTTCGTTCTGACCGTTAGCAGTCTCGGCATGTTGCCCTGATCGGAGATCATAAACAATTACCTCCTGTCATTACCAGTCGCGAAGCGCAACTCAACGGCCTTGGGATCAGTCTATTTGAGAGACTTACTGAAGAAGGAGGTGTGTGATTCTGACTGGATCCGTCGGGAGATTTCTTATCAGAAATATCAAATTGTAGTTGTTCCATCAATTATGCTTGACGTGCAGTACAGGATGCATCCTTCCATTTCTAGATTTCCCTCTTTAGAATTCTATGACTTTGCGTTGCAAGACGGCACGGTGGACTCTGCTGGTAACATACACCCTATGCTACTACCGCCGCTGTCAAGTCACCTCGAGCAAGATGTTCTCACTGGTCACCGTCCCTCTGTCGTATTTATCGATCACGGCGGTGCGGAAACTTCCAAGGACCGAAGTACGGTAAACTGGAATGAGGCTCATATTGTTTGTAGCATCGTCGAAGACCTACTCTTGCAAAACGAGGTGAGCGCTGCCTGGTTGCCTCTTATGTCTGACTGACACTCTTTCGAAGAACTTACTGGGCGCGAACATTGGTGTCATTGCGCCATATGCTGCCCAGATTTCACTTTTGAATCGCCTGCTAAACACCGACGCTAAGTATCGCAAACGCTTCGCGTCCACTCTTGGCGATCACCGAATGATGCAGCTTAGCAGTATCGAAGTGAAGACAGTGGACGGGTTCGAAGGACGCGAGAAGGACGTTATTATATTCTCGACCGTGCGAAATAACGCGTCGGGGTACATTGGGTTCCTGGCTGACAGACGACGATTAAATGTTGGGTTGACGCGTGCGAAGCGAGGGCTGTTCGTTGTTGGGAGTATCAGTACTCTGAAGGCTGGGAAGATGGCGAAGGAGCGGACGGGTGAGGGTCCTGCAAGGGTTGGTAAAGGTGCTGAAGCTTGGAGAAGATACGCGAAGTATGTCGTGGATGAAAAGATGGTGGTGACCCTTAGCGGAGATAGGCTAAGGGCGATGCTGTACGGGGACAGACCAAGGGCAAGGTCGAGTTGAGTGTTTGTGGTATATTAATATTGTTAACGCTATTATGTTGCACCGCCCCCTCTTTTCGTGCCACAATCAGAAAGGACGTAAGTTTTCGAAGACTGCTAGAAGTTAGAACCTTTCAAGGCTATGTTCCCGATCATTGATTGACACTTTTCTGCGCTCATTTACGTTGTACCCATGGGACAATCCGGGACAGTTTTGTATTAAGCCGGACAGGATGCGATTTGGCGACCCTGAGGAAAGCGGTACGGTTGGGCGCTATAAGCACACCAAGACTACGGGAGTTCGTGCCGTGAACATACAAGAGGCCGCGATTCATATATAAGTAGTGCGAAGCCGGATCGCATAACCTGAAGCGGGCCCGGTGCCATCGCTGGAAGCACTGCAGGTGAGCGCGCAACTGAATTTGTCAACAAAAAAATAACCAACTTATGTGACATACGTGGGTCAGCGCTCGACGTCGTTCAAGTTTCTTCGACGGTGATAGTTCCTTGGGATCACAACACAGTGTGTGACCAAGTCAAGTGTTCACAACGAGTCGCAACCCTGATTCGCGACTTCTGTTTTTTTCAGGGCCAAATTGGAGGTTTTGTGGACTTCGATGGTGTTTGTGTTTTGAGGTGAGACGGGGAATCAGTTGATCCGTTATGGGAGCCGGGGCGGTGACGAGTTGTTAGTGTAAGTATTAGTAGCTAGTAAGTAGGCCGAGGATGTTCAAGGTTGGATAAATTGATGATCAATTGGAAGGGAAGCTGAAATCGATGTTGTACGTAGGAAGGGCCGGAATGGAGCGGAAGTAACCGTCGGCCACGTGGGATGTGAGGCGACATATCGCACTCTAATTTAACGGTGTGAACTGTCAAAGTAACGAAATGTATGACCTCTTCCAAAGCAGTTCAAAAGCGACTTCCCATTTTCAATTTCTTGGTAGCACTTTCTCTATTTCTGGTTCTCAAGAAGCTTTTCAACCATCTTCAATCACTTTAATCTGCAAATCGTTCAGTCTTTCTGCAACACCCGTCCTACCTGGCAACCAACAAAAATGCCTTCTCCGCTGGCGGTATCTCCTTCAAATACCACAAATCCTCCCCGTACTTCACCCATGTCATTCACTATGCCCTCCCATCCTCTTTCTTTCGAGAATATGTTGCGTCAATTTCGCAAGTCGTCCTATCCTCTCCTCCACCTAGAATCGGGTTGTATTCCTCGATCGGCTAATTCACAGCCGTCTTCACCCCCTGCTTGCCTGGGCGCTCCGTTTATCCCTGTAATGTCAAATGATCTAGACATCTCTATTCCTCCGTATCACCGCTCCTACAACGACTCTCAATTGAATTTGTCTCCAACATCTTCAGGAAGCAGTGACGGACTATCCTGCGAGTTTCCTGTCAGTCGCTCATTATTCGAGCAGTTCAGAAATACTCGATCGCGCGTCCTGCTCGTAAGTATCTCGGTTCTCCGCGCGTTCCAATGTCTGATGAACCGTTTAAAGCTCCAGAAAGATCACCGCTGGCCATTGCCGTCCTTCGTGTCATTCTTCACAGAGGTAAGCGCAACGCCGATAGAACGTCGAAATACGTGTTGAATGATCATCTGAACAGGCACGAGATCGCCGTGGTTTTGTCAAACCGCCTGTCTCCATGTGGGGAGCGAACGAGTGCATTGAGCCAAACGACATTTGGGCGATATTTCAGTCACACGAAGACGTAAGTGGCATCGAATTCTTTATATGGCATTATTCCCTCAATCGGTCGATCGGAGGCGCATCATTTCCTTTTTTTGCTCATTGTCAACGTGTCCTCCACGTGAGAGCGGGTGCAAAGGATACCGTTGCATTGCTACCAATCAGGCACCCGCAAAATAAGCCATATATGCCACTTTGCTGGCTTATTTTTTTGTTCACCCACTTTCACTATTTATCCGACGTAAGTTAAATATGCTCAACATGTCACTTCTTAGGCCTGTACAACGCTTTCCCTCTCTCACCCCTCCGTTACCATCTCCCCTGCTCTTCAGACCGATTTGGAGCCTTTTGATAGGCTGTGCAGAGTTGATTCCCTCTTGAAGGTAAGATCATCAATCAGTGTCTTGGCAGTGGCTCAACCCGAAGTCAGAATTCTCCTGCGATTTCATATCCTGCTGGTCTCCGCATGTCCTTGTCAACGCCTGACCTGCACAAATGCGCGCAATTTGGGACGCCTGCATTCGCCCAGACAATCGGGGCACCGAACGACGACTTTGTCATCTCTAGCAATCCGCCCAACCCGCGAACGACATTCAGACTGGGTGACTGGATGTAAGCACCATTCCCAATTTGCAAACATCGTGATCGTGTTGTGGAGTTGTCCAGGCTGTTTAGGGGCAACTTTATTTGAAATCGATTGAGTCGGTGCTGACTAGTTCTTCTACAGATGCAATTCGCCCAACTGCGCAGCGCACAACTTTGGGTGAGTTTCGTTCTTTGACACGGTCACCGCATTTCTGTGTATTTTTTTTTACTTCCATTGAGTTGGAGAATCCCGGCGGCGAAGCTAGGGGAACACGTCACGTTCCGAACTGCTTCGATCGTCATACGCGTCATCATTACCTACTTTGAACCGCTCTTATCATTGTCTTTCCCTTCTGCCTTTCTAACTCTCATGCAAGGATGGTGCTGACTGATTCCTTTCCTTGTATGATTCTACACAGACGTAACCTAGCTTGCAGAGGTTGTGGATGTCCACGTTCTGAGAACCAACCCTCAACGATGCAGCGACAAGGGTCTTGCGGGCCACCCCCGTCACGCCTTCCAGTGTCACCCCGCTTCGTTAATTCATCCGGACACACGCCCATGCCGCAAAGCAGTCTTTCTCCACCGGTCCCCGCTCCTCTTTACCCCAGTGTCGTTCATAACGTGCGTCATGCACCCCCGCCTATCCAGCCCAGCATGATGAGTGCAAAGCCCCCCTCGCCTGCCCATCCTCTCCTCACTCCATCCGGTCGTTCTTTTGCGGTGGGAGGAAAGGTACAAAACGTCTCCTCGGACCCGCTGTCGCCGTGTGTCATGTATTGGCCGGATAACGAATCATTCCCAGAACAGGGTCAGATTCGACCGAGCAGTTTGATGGTCGTTCCAGTAGGCATTACGTTTGGTGTTTTTCCTTCCCAGGCTGACAAGTATTGCCCCCTAGCAGCCCCCGATCCTGAACACTGGTAATCGTGGGCCTATTGAACATCAGCCTGGTGATTGGATCTGTCAGAAGTGCAATTATCTGAATTGGAGACGCCGTAAAGTTTGCCAGACTTGTTTCCCCTGTAGGTGCCCATCAACTTCGATATTAAATTTTTACCAACTTTTTACAGATGCTGAAGGAAACGGCGATTCTATCTCCGCTGCTGTGCAAGCGGAACGCATCAACTTACTTACGTCGCTCCTTGCGCAGAACCAGCTTCCGCTTGCGAGTGGCCCCCCGTCCCTTCCATCTCAGGTTCCTCGGTCTCATTCCATGACACCCCCACAGCGTCGTCGTATGTTCATGGACAACGTTCCTCAGAATCAAGTACCCTACCGATCCCGCTCGCATTCCAATTTTGACGTGGGCACCCAATATTCAGACCCCCAGTTCATCTACGAAACGTCTGCCCCCCGTCGTACCTCGCCGTCTTCGTTCCCAAGCCTTGGTGACCTTGAAGACCATCTTCCCTCCAATATCCCCGCTCCTTTACTTCCTTCTTTCCTGCAGGATATCGTGCAATCCCCCACTCTGTCTCCGAGTTCTACCTCGTCCACTGACCTCTCTCCAGAGGATTATGACGATAGTTTCTCTTCGGGACGCTCATCATTTGGGAAGGATCGCATTGTCATGAACGACTCTTCTTCGAACCTGCCTGTTAGCAATATCTGGAAGCTAAACGACGAGGAAACGAAGGGTATCGCAGGCGTTGCATTACCTCACATTGGTCTGATAGGGAGTAGGAAAAGCAGCCATGAGGCGTTGCGTCGCCGACCTAATTCGCCTTGATTGTAAGCTCTCCTGTATTCAATTTGATGATTGTGCTCACCGTTGCCTTTAGTCACCGTGTATATACATTAAGCATAGGGAAGGATACCGACAAGCAAGGCCATGGATGGACATGCGGACAGCGTCCTGGGTATTGTATGGAGAATACGGTTAGAGTGGGTTTTCTGGTATTTTTATTTGTTCTTTCCCTAGTGCTGGCTCATATGATGGACTGCTTGCTTTGACGCAAGACGTCCTCGCGCATTTTTCTGCTTCATCTTTGCACTTTCAAGTTGGATCTCGCAATCGCACCAGCATATTCTGCATATTGTTTATCTTGGTCATTTATTTTATCTTGGAGTTCTTACGCCTCCCTTATGTACTACTGCATAGTCTAATTGTGTTCGTAAAAGTTTGCAATAGTATCGACGTGTTCACCAGTTATAGGAGCTTCACTATGTTTGCGTGTGTTAGCATCAGAAGGTATTGCACAACAACGGACACCAAACACAAATAACGCGCTCGCCTATTTGCTTTTGCTATCTATGCAGCACACCGCATATTATGTCTGGTATTGTAATACAAGCCCAACAATACCAACCCTCCGCCGCCACCACTTTCCTCACAACCCCAGCGGCAGATGCATTTGAAGAATCTGAAGAATCTGACCTCCTTCGTTCCATACGTGCTGCCATCCGAAGTTCCGGTACTAACACTGTAAACACAACTTTTAGCCCTCTCTTCGCAGGTGGATCAGAGTCCTGGACAGACCAAGAACTTTCCTGGAACGACTATTGCGTAGTCCTAAGCCAAGGAGGCGTCATCAAGAGAAAATGGGACCTCAGCCAAGAAAACCAGATGATCCAACACGCCTGCATCGGAAAACTCCTGCAGCCGACAGGATCCTCTCACCGGCATGCGCACGGCAGCGCGCACTACACGCGATCGGACGAACCGCCCGGAACGACGAACATCTTCGGGCCATTCGCATCGCTCCGAGAGGAGACGAAAACCGTCGAGGATGTAGAGGAGGAGATTTCGGGCGTGTTTATTTTCCTGCGGAGCATCGGAAAGGTTTTTTTTGCGGAATGGGATGGATTATACGTTTTCGCTTCCGTTTCTTGTTCATAAAGCGTGGCCGCTTCGTCCTCATGGTGTTCTTATCCAGCGGATCCTTCATCCAGCCGAAGTGGACGAGGCTCGTGCGACCGGAGATGATCTATTACCCACCATATTCACCATCACGAGCGCTTTTTCGGAGCCTGAAGCTGTAGGAATCACGAGTGGGATTTTGGGAGGGTTTGGTGATGAGCCTGTTGCTTTAGTGGATGAGGAAGAGAATTGTTCCAAGCCGCTTGTTGCCGTTTCTGCTAGCGACGAGGTTGTCTGGGTTTCTCCTGGTGTTCCTGATTCGACTGGCGAATTTTTGGTTACCTTTGATGCAGACAAAGGGGGTCTGTCTATATGGAGATATGCCTACTTGAAGCCCAAAGACGCTCCTGTGCCTCTTACCCGGACTAGACGTCATAGCACTTCGCGAAAGAGTGTGTCTGCTCCTGGGAATAGGCGACAATCGAGCGTTAGCGATCTGTTGGAACTTGATCGGCGTGTACCTCAAGACTTGGAGTTTGATGGCGATTTTCCCCCACCGTTTCCCCCCATATCAGGACTTGCGTCTTCAACAGCAAGTAGTATCACTGCTCAGCCACCGATACCGGGAAGAAAACGGGACTCTATCACTCGCCTAGATCTCAGTTTGACGATGGACAGAATGGCGCTTGGAGGACAGAAAGACGCGGAAGAGTTGATCACTCCTGTTGAACATGGAAGGATGAAGGCGTCTTACTGGGCCCAGCAGTTGACCACTCATCATTTGGGAGGGAGACAGTAGGAGGTTATTGATACATCACCTAAACACACGCTCATGTTGTTGTAGATTGTCGACGCGTGATATCTCTGTTGCGTTATTTGATCAACGCTTTGATGGCAAGGTTCATCACTCGCTCCTCGCAGTCTGCCTGCCTGAAGCTCAGGTAATCGTCTTTATGATCGCCATTGAGGAAGGCAAGAAATCGTTTGTGGTCGAGAGACTCGGCACTCTGGAAGCCGTTGCGATCGCGTCGATACGCGCGACGCGTGGTGATATTTGGGACCTACTTGCGGTGAAGAAGGATGGTTCGTTATCGTTGTATACTCATGGATTGCACGAGCTTCGTATACGACTGAGGCTCGCGCAACCCTGGAACGGCGACAGCAACGATTCATTTGAGGTCGTCTCACTTGATCATGTTGTAGCATTGAAGCATGTTTGCGTCTCATCGGTATATATGGAGATGAGTGATGGAAAGGTCTATTATGCGCGACTGGACATGACCCCGCGCGATCCACTGGTGATCCAGGCCATACAGGTTCTGGCACTTGTGCTGCCAAAAGCTCAAGCTTTTGACCTGCAACGAAACTTTCTCGAGTCATGGTCACAGCGTTATTTCCGGACATCGCCTGGGCTCGAGTTTCAGGAGTTCACGCTCGCGCTTTTCGCGCTTCTTGAGCTCAAGCTCGTGTATCCTTTCAAAAACGACGAGTCCACAAGTTCTTCTGTATGGGAAAGATTCTCAGCTTTGTCCACTTCTAATCGTTCTTTCAACGACGATCCGGCTCTCAAACGCCTGAAGCTTCCTACACCCCCAACTACGCAACATTATTTCCTTTTCACTCTGAACGTCAACCCTCTCCTCGCGCCTGTGCTCTATGCGTTGCACATGTTGGCAGAGGACCTTCGCTTGGTGGTTTTTCGATACGAATCCCTCATGTTACTCATTCCCCTGATATGTCAAATTGCACACATCGTTCGACCAGAATGGGCCGATTATTGGAAGCGCCTCTGTCCTAATATCATGCCAGGATGGCCCGCCCCAACTACGACGCGTCAGTCTATAAGTTTCCTTTTCCGGAATGTTCTCTCAATCTTTTTGCATCAGGTGTGGACATGCTCGACGACCGCATACCGGTGTGGCCACCAGATATGTCGGCGATTCTTTATGGAAGCATAAGTAATCCCGACTGGCAATTTCCTGCGTATGGAACCTCCCGACTGGCCCGATCTTTTTCTATCGATCCATCGTTTGCTTTTGGTGACACCGAACCGCTCGTGTCCTTGCAGCGTCTCACGGCAGCCTATATGTGTCTCGCTGACAAGACGGTGTTATCCACACAAAAGCGGGCAGAACAGACTGTCGAAAAGCTTGTCGACATGCTTGGGACAGCGGAGAAGGGCTCTGCGTTCCTTAATAGTCTTCCGTTTGGTATCGCAGCGCCCTTGAGAGAAGCGGTTAGAACGTGCCAGCTGTCGCCTCCTTCTCATTGGCGCAAGGAGCATTATGAGCTCATTGGCCGGCGTGATTTGGCTTTTAGCGTTGCTGGGATGCAGCCAGAGCTTTCTCAGAAGGGCATCGCTCAGTCTCCCGAGACTTATATGGTAGGGAGATACAATTCAGGGTGTATTGCGGCGACTGATCTGATTCTAGAATACTCACCGACGGATGACGATCGGTAGTCTGGTTGAACAGGCCAAGTCTGCGAGCATCGGAGAGATCGATGCTGTCTCTGGAGTCGAACTCGATCTCAAGGGTTTCACGAAGATCCGTTTTGGCCAAGATCGCAGATTGGAAGAGGTGGCTCGTATGCTTTGTTCGTCGGCGGTTCCACCAGTTCGGCTTGTAGAGCGTCCGGAATTGAAGTGAGCAGGATGATCGATAAGCCAGGTCGAGGCTTTGCTAACAACTCTTGAATAGCGAACATGACCAAGCGAAGGAGCAACAGCATCAAGTAGTTCGTATCGCAGAACGAACGCTGGCACTACCCTATGGTCGTGCTATGTTCACCTTTGGTTCCGTGTTGACGGTCACGAAAGAGGCCTATGTCACTCCCAAGATGGAGTATGCGGTTAAGATACAACCATCAAATGTCACTTCTGCACCCGAACTTGGAAAGATACCTGTCGAATGTCTCAACTGGGGCGAGTTCCATAATGGCGTCGCAGCAGGACTACGCATCTCTCCAGAAGCTCGTGGTGTAGAGAGTTCGTGGATCGCCTTTAACAAGCCTTCTGAGCTCACCCCAGAACATGCCGGTTTCTTGTTTGGCCTTGGGCTCACGGGGCACCTCAAGGAAATGCTCACATGGCATACCTTTGCATATCTAACCCCAAAGCATGACTTGACCTCCATTGGCGTCTTGCTTGGTTTATCAGCCGCGAACGCTGGGACAGCCAATCGCCATGTGACAAAGTTACTTGCCGTTCATACCCCAGCCTTGCTTCCTACGCAAAACGTTGACCTGAACGTATCCCTCATGACCCAAGCCGCCGGTTTAGCGGGAGTCGGAATTTTGTACCTCGGTACCAAAAACAGGCGCATGGCAGAAGTGTGTCTTCACCAAATCAGCCGAAGAGACCTCGTGCAACCGGACCTCAGTAATGAACACCGGGAAGCTTATACTTATTGTGCTGCCTTGGCCTTTGGCATGATAATGCTGGGTCAAGGCTCCTCCGTTCCCGCAGATCTCTCATCGCTCGACCGCCTCCGTGTTCTTGTGCATGGCGAAGGAAAGTCGGTTGTGAATTCCCAAGCACGGTCCACATTCGATGTCAATATAACCTCGCCAGCAGCTTCTATCGCACTTGGGTTGATGTATCTCAAGACAGAGCGACGAGACGTCGCTGACATCCTGGTGATTCCTAGCACGGTCTTGGAACTGAACCGTATACAACCTAGCTTTTTGCTCATGCGGACCATTGCAAGATCCTTGATCATGTGGAACGACATCGCCTCGACGCCGCAGTGGTTACTTGCTCAAGTTCCCGAATCTATCGTGAAGGCCATGCATGGTCACATACGAGGAAAACCGGCTGACGATGCTATCGAGCTTGCCTATTACAACATCATTGCGGGTTGTTGTTTTGTTATTGGCTTGAAGTACGCAGGGACAGCACGTCATGAGGCATATATTATGCTCTCGAATTATTTTGATATATTCAGTAGATTTGTGGCAGCTAGTGGTAAATTTTCCTCGCAGAACTCACAATATGTCATACTAAATGTCTGGTGTTTTACAGGTCCTACCTTTGATCACAAGATCAAGCGCTCCGCTGTTCGTGAAGGCTTGAACCTCATTTCCATTGCTCTTTGTATGGTCATGGCGGGTACAGGGGAAATCACATGCTTGCGACGTCTGAGATATGCGTATGGCATGTATCACCAAGCGTTTCGATATGGTGTCCATGTTGCGACTCACCTGTCGCTTGGCTTATTATTCCTCGGGGCCGGTCGGTATACCCTCGGGACTTCGAATGCCGCGATTGCTTGTATGGTCGTTGCCTTTTTTCCCCGTTTCCATCATGTATCATCGGACAACAAGAGCTATCTCCAGGCTCTTCGCCACCTCTGGGTTCTTGCAGTCGAGCCTAGATGTCTTATGGCACGGGATGTTAATACCAGAGAAGCAGTCTATCTCCCAGTCAAAATCACTACGAAAGAAGGGGCTGAAAAGGGTGCAACGCAGTTGATATCGCCCACGTTGATACCGGATTTCAACAAGATTTTGTCCATTAGAATCGATACGCCCCGCTATTGGCCTTTCTTTGTGGATCTCGAACACGTACCACAGCATAGGAGAAGCCTGTTGAAACACCAAACGTTGTACGTGAAGCGACGCACGGCTTTCTTGAGCTATACGGAGGACCCTAGGGGAAGTAGAAGTCTTTTCGTTCGCTCTGGGTCATCGGCTGGAGATGCTGCGACTTTAGACTTTCCCGCAATTGACGGACACGAAGGTACACCCCGCAAGCGACCTGACTCATTTCATCTCATCTTTCTCCAACGACATCCTATTCCTTGCTTTCGCAGATCATTTCTCACGCGAGGACGGTAAGACAGTCGATGAAAGAGTCTTCCACAATTACTGTCACGCTGTCCTGCTTGATAGCATTCTTCAGGATAAGATGGAAACACTGCAGTCCCATCTCATGCTTTATCAGTATCGGACTCAATCATCATCGAACAGCTACTTCCATCTGCGACTGCAAGACCTTCGTTTTGCGGTCGACTTTTACAGCAAAGTCTACGATCGGCGATTCAGCGGGAAATCAGAGAATAATATTCGGCCCTCTCTTATTCGCGAAAACACAGTTTCGGGCGCATTACAGGCCTTGGATGAGCGCCTCACAGAAGTGCAAAGCTCTACAGCGCTTAACGCGGTCTTTGGGAGATATGCTCGTGGGGAACTTATAGTGGAGTCTGAAGACGCCCCTGAGGTATCGCGTTGGTTGGCTTGGTATTTGCTGCGCCATGGTGTTCCGTCCGCATCGCTGCTAGTGATCCTGAAGCAACTTGCACAGGATGCTCATGCACAATGTGCTGCTCCTGGGAACGTTGATTTGAGGACGCTGGATGAGGGGATAAAAGAAGTTCTGAGAGGAACAGGGACGAAGATGAATACGGTATTTGGATCGGGGTGGTCGGGTCCGTCTTTGGAGAGGGTTATTGATGCATGGCAGAGACATTCGCAAGGCATGCCACGATGTTGATGGAACGTTGACGAAGAAGATACAGCAGATGCTGAGATGATCATACAGTACTAATACATTAATTGCAATTAGATAAGAATTGGACGAGACTCGCCAACGGTCCCGGAACGAGAGAGTGGGTCACGGTGTGTTCTCTCGTATTCGCCGTCCAGCGTCGACAATTTCGTGTAAAGGTGGTGCTTCTAGATCGAATCTTGAGGATCTCCGTTACGGAGAACTCAACGATGCCGGATCATTATACCGCCGACCACTATACTATCGGGAGGACCAGTTCCGTGGTGGTTACATACAGCACCTTCGTTTCACCGGGATCACCGTGTCGAAACACGATCTCGATTTCATTGCTCTCATCCCCTCGTGGACTTCTCTCTGGTGATCAGAGCACGCGGAGGGAGCGCTTATAGCGAGCTCGTAAGGAAGATAGTAAGGATCGGGGTTGTAAATGCTCGCTCGTACCTAGTAATAAGGAGATACCTCGAGCAAATTGTGGAAGAACTTGCAGGGACGTCGGCCGACGTCGTCGTGCAGCTGCGCTCGAAATGTCCCACTTGATGATCAAAATATGATACGTTAGATGCGGAATCCCAACGATCTTCTAGTTTGGATGCCGGTAAGATGCAGTTCGTCCTACTTATCCTCGCATCTCCGTATCCGTAAGTGCGCAGTAGAAACTTAACTTAGTAGGACAAATTGTAGAACGGTCCGATTATAAAAGCCGTATACTCGTACACGTTCGTACGTGTTCATGCAGATGAGCACGCACGTTTTTTAATTCGGAATATTTGGTGGATAAACTACGAAAGATCTTGGGATTAACAGTATTATCCGTGAATCAGCCAGATATATTTCCATAATTATTGTAACATGATGTTTTGGTTAACAAAAGATAAAGCATAAGAATAGTTTAACCGTGCAAGGCCTCAATGCTATTAACTACAGCGAGAGGAATCCTCCGTCTAAAGATCTAATACTATGGACGATGGGAAGTAGTGTGACAGGCTAAAATACAACGCACGCGTGTGGATCACGTACATGAAACAGAGCATCCGCAGGGGTACAAGATAAATCTAAATTCACGGCGATGGAGGGGTTTCACGTTGGAAGCCAGCTGGCCGTTGGAAACCTTGCTCCACGAGGTAATTACGGCGTGCCTTGACAGCTTCGTTCAGCCTGTCCAACATGCCAACAGTACACTCCCAATCCACACATGCGTCGGTAATCGAGACACCATGCTTCAAGCCAGACGGGCCCTCAGCAGGAACATCCTGCCGTCCCGAGTTGATGTGTGACTCAATCATGACACCGGTGATGTTCTTATCACCAACAGCGAGTTGGGAGCAGATAACATCGACCACTTTAGGCTGATTGTTGTGGTTCTTCTGAGAATTCCCGTCTGAAGGAGTTAAATGAGTTCGATGCTGACAACTGATCACAGATTGATTAATATGCTTACGGCTACAGTCAATCATAACGCTGGCATGGTTCGTCGGCCGCGCCTTCTCGATCGATTTGGAAGCGGCGCGAACATGCTCGGATGCGTAATTGGGACCCTTAGTGCCACCACGGAGGATGACGTGAACATCCTGGTTTCCTCGTGTCTTGACGATAGCGGCAAGACCTTGTTCGGTCACGCCCATAAAAGCGTGCGGGTTAGAGGCGGACCGCATTGCGTCAATAGCAACATTGACACTGTGCCGAGATGATCATCAGCGTGGTTCCTTAATGAAAGCACGTCAAATGATATCATACCTTCCATCAGTACCGTTCTTGAACCCTATAGGGAAAGAAACACCGGAAGCGAGCTCGCGGTGGAGTTGAGACTCCGTTGTTCGGGCACCGATTGCTCCCCAAGAGATAACTGTGTGAAGCAGGGTCAGAAAAAGTATGCGGAAATGATAAGACATGACGTACGGTCAGCAATATACTGAGGCGAGATAGTATCAAGCAACTCGGAACCAACAGGGACACCAATGTCGGTAAGGTCACAGAGGAGCTGTCTAGCCACTCGAAGACCCTTGTTGATCTTGAAAGAACCATCGATATCCTGCAGAAAGAGATGAGCAAGCAATAGACGTAAACCGCGAAATAGGCTAACCGGGTCATTGATGAGACCTTTCCATCCAACGGTAGTTCTCGGTTTCTATAATAGGATAAGGTGAGTCATTGCCAGGAACTGATTATGCGGCCAGCGAACCTCACTAGAATCACAAACATAACGTCAATATGGTACAATCCATAAAGAACAGGCACAGCTCACAAGTACGCGCGCATCACAATGAGGAGATTATCCCATGATGCCAATTTGGATTTGAGTAGGTTGGCATACTCAATAGCCTGGTCTGCGCAGTGGATGGAGCAGGGACCAACAATAACGAGGATACGGTCATCCTGACCAGCTACAATGCGAGCCGCATTGTAACGGGCAGCTGCAATTGTGAGCTGTGAGGCCGCTGTGGGCTGAACTTCATGCCTGAGTAAGGCAGGCTGAACCAGAGGGTCGTACTATTGAAGTGATGAATGACAATTGCAGTTGGAAGAGTTAGACACGTACACCAATGACACGTCTATCCTGGATGTATTGCTGTAGTTTTTGGTCATCATCGACATCGGGAATGGGAGTAACGTTGTAAGGCATTGTAGAGAGAATGGGAGTGAAATGCAGTCACAATTTTACAAGGAGAGGGGGAGAGGGTATGTTGAACAAGCGAAAATCAAGTGGGTTTTTATAGCATATGTGAGGCCGAGTAATTTTCCGATTTTATTCAAAGAAACACAGCAAATGTTGACAAGTCATTTGAAAATTGGCAATTTCGTAAAGTGACGTTCAAATTTGGCAAGTACAAATTCACAAAACCCGATATGGAAGGGGCGTTATTCATGAAACGGCTCGTTGTTTCCACTTGGTTTCCACGCTATGTTCGATAATGTCCTCCTCAATCAGTCTAACGCTAAATCCACTCCCCGGTTTCTGCGTAAAATCTAGCGCGCTCCAACAAGCCGTCGTCCCCAGAACCGCCACTAGTCTTCTTGCTAGTGCGCCCTCCGACACTCTAGGAGCACCAATCACTATCCCAAAAGGACTTAAAGTTTTTGTTAACATAGCTTGGGACACGAACGTGCCTCCACCTCCACCTGGTAGTGAAGACACGATTCAGAAAGTAATTCGTGGCCAAGACTACAATGAATCGAATTCCGATGGATGGTTCATCCCAATCCTAGTGTCAGATCCTCGCGATGACAAAGACAAAGGTCGGTGCTGTCATCAACCCGTCTCCGCGTACTTCGCTTAAGCACCATTTGTGGCTGTAATTTCAACTCTTCCCGCGTGATTGATATGCATTGGATCGTCGTCTTCAGCCGGGAAACCGGCCCTTGTCGTCGACTGTGTCCTTAACCCATCCATCAAGTCTCGCACCCTGAAAGAAGCCGACTTCAAAGCGTTCATTATAGGCACGTCATTTCATAGTTCGTGTCTATCCGATGCATCATCTGACCATGACTTGACGCAGAACTTGCGTTGCAGCGTGTTGAGTCACACACCTCACTTGAGCTTTCCCGGCAGATTGGCACGCCTAACATCGCCTCGAAAGGCAAACCTGTGTCGCGCCAAGTGATTGTGCCTAGAATCCTCTTTCCGCCCGGTCACCCTCACCACAAATCCGACGCTAAGACTACTCTCATTCAGGAACTACCTTCTCCAACAGCTATAGCGCCGGCCTCAAAAGTTGAGAGGATACTCAAAAGTGCTACGCCCACATGGACATGGACTCCGACGAAAGACCACCGTAAAATCCGCTTCATCATCAATGTGCCCAATCTGGTAAGTCTCATCCCCGGCACACCATCGAGCCTGTCGGGCTGTTTCCACGGAGACATGGTCTCGCCAATAGTTTAGTTCCCGTGTTGATCCTTAGCAATCGTTGGGTTATACAGACTCGCGCGCACATCTCAAATTCAACGCTCGATGTAGAACCAAGAAGAGTGATGCTACACGTTCCTTCGTTATACGACTTAGATATCAACCTCGATGTGCCACCAGACACCGAGCCTACTACGGCCACGTACGGTCGTCTTGGCGAAGCCGCCACAGAGCTCAAAAGGTTTAGAGATCTCGATGTGGATGGTGCCAAGGCGGAGTGGAGGGTAGCCGAAAAGGTTATAGTTCTCCTGGCTTAACAGGGCTTAGCAGCACAGGCGGCATACCGCCGAGTCAGGGTAACCTTTGATGAAATGAAAAGCTTTAAATATCTAAGTGACAATACAACCTTGTTACACTCGCACACGCAGCAGAGAGACGCTGGAACGTAATAGGTGGGTTGTTTGAAATTTCATACGTTCATTAACTAACGCTTTGCTTCTGATTCGGACCCTGTCATCAGCGATAACTTATCCTCAGGCTGCTCGGGTCGCGACTGCACACGAGCAGCACTTCGGGTCCTGACATAACGATTAACGAGGTCGCGAATTGTGCCCTAGATATGACAACTCATGATCATAGGCCCTCTCCTTGCGTACGTACCCACGTTCACCGCTGCTGTCCAAGCTTACCGTCTATCGGGTCTCTGTTATCTCTGATAGTCATCTTCTAGCATATCATGCACGTTGCTTCCTCGAATGCAAACACTAATCCTGACCATTGTTTTGTACAAGTGCTGTGGCGCTTTGATCGCCACCATATTCCTCGACCTATGTTTATATATGACATCCAGGGACTGTCTGATGGCCTGACCAATTGCTGTTCTCATCTCCTAAGTCTCCGGAGGCTCGCAAAAGCCCGCACTCCCTGCATGGTCTAGGCACGCTTTTACTGGCCGCGTCAGCAGCGAAGAGAAGAGAACGTATCTCGGATACCGGTGCTCCCCAATTCATTGTACAGGAAAGTGCCAACAGCCTGTGTGCTTCTGACTCCACGTCATATGGGAATCAAAGTCATGACGACTTATTGTGTATGATCTTCAGCAGCATGCTGCATGCCAAGCCCAGGTGATACAGTAGCGGGGATGAAACGCCTGACATGTCAAGCAGTTCATAAATACGGTCCACTGACGTGGGCCTGGCTGGCCGTATCTACGCTCAGTTAACACGAGCCAAGCTGGCCAAGGGGGAACGATGGAATACTCTAGTACGGGTATCATTCAGGAATCGAAGTGCAACGTCCCAAGCTCCTGGGCAACATCTCGGGTGGCTATGGAGCGGAGGGAGAGAAGATCAGCTGCGGAGCAGTAAGAGAACGGGGATAAGCATACATTGGCAAGCACCTTTGATGAGGGCCATTCCTTCCAGTTGCCCGTTCTCCACCTCGTGTCCAAGGCTGATGATCGCTTGGTGGCGTTTGATCGCGAGTGGCTGTAAGAAGACATTAATTACTTAGAGAATGTAGTGATGGCTTCTTGGTGCTGAGGGACAAACTATAAGTTCTTCCTGTGCTTCAGCGATCGCAGCTGTTATCTTGCGCTTCTTGTCTTCCAGAATCGCATATTGTTTGAGGAAATCCTGATGAAGGGTTTCCCTTCGATTGCGTATCAGTGTTGAGCAGACAGCGGTATATACGCCCCGACAGGACGTCCTACATATCGTTTATGACGTTGGCGATTTCAGTTTCCTTGTTCTGGAGCTGTTTGGAAGGTAAAGATGAGAGATGACGTGTATCAAGGATACGAACAGCAAGGTTGAGTTCTTTTTGCGTTGTCTGTATTATCTTATTGTCACGTCCTCTCAACTTCTTCTCCCATGTCGCTGGCAAGCGCATGTGATCAGGTATAGCTAGCGCTATAATTTTTGACACACCTTTGAACTCTGCCGCGATGACGGCGAACGTTCTTAGAGACCTGTTGTCAGCGTGGCAGGTAGCATCAAATATCACGAGAATTACTCCTCGTTGTGGTCATCACTGGTGCCTTGAGAGTCCTTGAGGTCCATGTCTCCCTCGTCTCCTGATAACGATTGTGAAGGAGGTTTAATTGATGACACGCGTCTTTCGGGCATCTTGGATAAGAACAGGCGCGTCTATCTGGTCAGTTGGAGTCGTTCTAAACTTGACGCGCGTCTGTGGCTCACTCATCACGCGATCACGTGATTGCATATACGCGTCACGCGGTCACGTCTTCCCATCGGACCCATCCACATGGAGTACGCAGTTAATTCTCTCTTTTATTTTTGTGCCAAAATGCAGCGGTGACACCGACGCGTCGCGGGAAACCGACATCACGCGCGAGAGTCTGAAACAACCAGCTGATTCAAATTGTCGCGTTCTTTTCACAGCGTCAGGTCAGAGACGCTAAGTGAAGAACTCGATGAAACGGCTCCGAGGTCATGGGGATGGGTATTCTAAGTTCTTTGATCCCAAGTATTCACGTGGAAAACTTTCATCCCCGTATGAGGCACATCGGCACCAGATGTGGGGTAGTGTGTGTTGATGTACGCCAAGGGAGTGATGCTCGAGTAGCTATAGCTGGCCGGTGAGATCATTCGTTATTTAACCAGGTACGTGGCAAGCTTTTGTGGTAGTGATGATGAATTTACCCTGGGAGTATGGGGTATTCAAGAGAGCAAAAGCCCTGCAAACTAACTTTGGAAATCCAAAAATGTATGTCCAATGAGGGAGTATGGGTTATACCTGGTATGCGTTAGGAGGGAGTCGACTGTACTAGGTTATACATCATAACTCAAAGTGCTATGCAATATAGTTTGTACAGGTACCGGCCCTGCAAATTGCATGTAATATTTAACTTTGATGGAGACATCCTGGAGTACTAGTACCAAATAGTATAAAAGTTTCATGCAGTAGTACCCGTGACTCGCATTAGTACTGAATAGACACACGTTGGCAGTACCCTAGTGCTGCGGCGCACTGAACCATCGCCCTGGATCGCCCCTTAAAATTAAATTCTGGAGCATGTACGATCCTACATTCCGTTTCAGAATCTTGACTTGGACACGTTCCAAACTGCAGACCGATTATATTGTGCCTGTAGTCTGACAGTCAGAACGGTTGTAAATTTAAGCGTTTGAGAACGCCACGGTCACGGTGTTTGAAAGACCACGGGGCTACGTTCCAGGGATTTTAATTTTTCCCGTGCAGATTGGCGTGGTGCTGGATAAGTGACTTAACAGATACGCTGCGCAAAGCTATGCAATATTATTAAAAAACAACAAGTACCAGTGTAGCGGTGGTCGAGCGCCTGATACAGACCCTAGCCCCTCTTGTCACTCAGTCTGCATAATGTGCCATCGTGGTACAATGATGACACTCCTTGGGGGCATCAATGGTTCAACCGAAAGACTTCCCAGTATCTCCCTTGGCACGATAGTGGAGAGCAATACCTTGTACCACGGCATCCAGGCCAAGACATCCCTGCCCTCTTCAAAATTACGACTGGGCTCGACAACGTGTGGAAAAAGAACGACATAACATTGATCCCTCAAATCTGTTATGTTGGCGAACCTGTGACGCGATGAGATGCGACATGTGGCGAGGTGCACACGGGTGGGGGTAGCGGTCTTCGTGGGAAGGGGTAGTACTCGCAGAATGCGTAGGAGCAAATCACATGATAACGTCGGTGCTGCGGGTGGCGCGGATGAGAGCTTTTGTTTGAGCTGTAGACACCAAAGGGTATAGTCGGTCTTTGTGCCTGAGATCAGGTGTTGAGCACGCGCTGCCATTCCACCACTGTGTTACCATCGCGTTTCAATATAAATCGACCAATGATCTCGCAAGACGCGCACGTACCGCACAAACTTCGCTTTAGCGCTCTTGTTTTTGCGAGGGCTGAGTCCAATACCGCGCTGCATCTCACGTTCGAATGGAGTAACAAAGTTGTGTCCGTGCTGTTGGAGAAAAAGCGAGAGTAACTCAGCACCTGCACCGTCCTTTGTGGGATTTATCGCAAAAGATGAGATGGGCTTCAAGTTAGTCAATGATTTCTTTTCGGCAAACGGGGCAAAGTTGGGTGGAGCAAGAGGCTTCAGAACGATCGCTTTAGAAGTCAGCTGAGGCCTCGGAGGTGGCTTGAGAATCGATACAGGTTTGGAAGACGACGCATTTGCTGGGGGGTTGATTACAAACGAAGGTGGTTTGAGAGGTTGTAGAGGTCTAAGAGGTGCGGAATGTGGTTTTGGATGGGATATAGGAGGAAGATGCACAGATGCTGATTCTGAAGGGGTAACGGTGAGGCGCACGCGAGACGGATCCGCCCCTGCATTGCTCGCAGTGATAAATGGGTTCGGTCGCTTGCGATTGCCAGCTGGGCGAACTGATATCTCCTTCTCCTTCTCCTTTCCCTTTCCCTTCAAGTTAGCCTCGCGTCCAAGTGAAATGTCACCAAAGTCGGGGAGTGCGGCAGTAAACGGGTTTTGCGGTCGTTCTCGAACACGACTCGAATCCTTCGACTTTTCCTGCTCGTCATCAGGAACCTTTGTTGATGGCCCGGCCTTCGGTGAATCAAAAGAAGACACGAAAGGCGGTGGAGGTTTGTACGCGGGTTTCGAGATATTCTTGGTTACCTGGAAGCCGTCAGGTCCTTGTAGGCGAAGCCTTTTGGTTGGACGATTACTGGACCGCTGTCAGACGTGCCGATAAGTATTTGGAATTAAAAGAAAGTACATGTGCAACTGACCTCCATATTCGCCTCAGGCTGGGCAGTGTGCAAGTTGTCATAGGAGTCACATGTTGCTTAATATTATGATTGGTCATCTCCGCCGCGCGCGAAGTGCTTGTCGCGCTCAATTTAAATTTCATCGAACTTCTGCTTGCGAACGTGCATGGAGCCCTTTTGTATTGTTCTCATGACCTCAAATAGTGGTTCAGTAAGTGGTGAATTTTCACGACGAAGCTGACAACCATTGAAATGATATAGCCGACAAGCCTTGGTACCGGGTAAAAGTCTTATGCCAAAGTACACCCGTGGGGCCGTGCCTTGTCAACGCGGGCTGCATCAATGTCTCTGTCTCTGTCCAGACTGCCGCGCCAAGTTCTCGTGTCAGTGCATCACTTGCCAATAATTTAAATCCAAATGCACGCATATCAGGTGTGCCGCGTTCAATTCAATCATTGCCTAAGTATACACTCGGGACTGCCACCCAACAGTGGAGCATCTTTGATAGTAATCAGCTCATCCAAGCGCCTGCTATTTCGACGGAAATCGATGCTATGTTCAATAAAGGCGAATTTTAAATAATGCAAGTATTGTGATTTCCTGTTCGAGAAGCGCAGCCTACCGAGAGGAGTCGAGTACTGCGTCTTTAGGATGAATTGAAATTAGAAGCGAGAAGACCGCACCTAGTGTTTTTATAGATTCAGAATTCAAATTGGAGCTGCGTACAGCATGGCACGAAACAGAGAGCTGTACCGTCTGGGGAGGCCCCGAAAGGACACATGCAGTCATTCTGGTCTACGTATCATGCGCTGAAGCAGGCTACATTACCTTAGTAAGTCATAAAAGGCTTGGTACTTGGCGCGTAGTCGAAGTGCCTTTTCAAGCACATCACATGGGCCAAGTTAAAAGCAACCTCGTGACAACTTAAACGTGATCACAATGTCTAGACACCGGTCACCTTATGGTAGACCTCTTTGTTCTCAACCATCATGCATCTTTCAGACGAGGATAAGAGGGAGATCGGTCAGGTGCGCCGAAAGCCGCTCTCAGATCGGACTAAATCCTGAGGACCACTGCAGCACTTCGTTTTTGGATTCCATGGATATGAGGTCAGCGATGATGCAAAGGAACTCATCAATAAGTATCATGTTGGGTAGGCAAAAACACATGTGGACGTACCCTATCCTCACGAGTTATCGTAATCAGGAATATTATCCTCATGAAACGGAATGTGCAAAGTAAGGCACAATGTTTGTTGAAATATTCACACTATGCGAATCACGATTTCCCCAGGTGTGAAGCAGGTGCACGCGCTTGTTCAATCTTTGCAGCAGTGCGCAAGAGATGCTGGACACGTGAATCCGCTGATGATTGGGATTGATCAAGAGAATGGTACATTTCGCGACGTCCGCTTTCACGTCAGGCTAATCCTATAATCACAGGCCTTGTATCTGCGTTCAGCTCGACTGCAAAGCATCAGGCTGGTACACAGTTGTAAGTCACGTCTCGTTGACCCTCTTTTGTCTCATTACTTTCCAGCCCAGGAGCTATGGCAATCGCTGCTACCGGTGAACCCGAATATGCAAGAAGTTGTTCGGCGGCTTCAGCTCGTGAGATGAAAGCTGTCGGCATTAATTGGTCCTATTCTCCAGTAGGAGACGTGAATTCTGACCCACGGAACCCAGTCATTGGTAAGTATTAAGTGCTTCGGTGCTCGACAGTGTCTTGACCTGTACGCTCTTTCCTTGAGGTGTACGCTCTTTTGGAGATGGTGAGACCCAAGTTACTCGGAGAACTTTTGCTAAGCTTTGGTGATTAGACCCCACAGAGGTTGCGCGATTTGCGAAGGCAGTTGGCGATGGCCTCACACAAGGTGGTGTCGCACCGTCTGCGAAACATTTCCCAGGACACGGTGATACAAACATTGACTCGCATCTTGGTCTCCCCATCATCAACAAGAGTCGTGCCGAGTTGGATGAAACCGAGTTGAAACCTTTCAAAGAACTTGTCAACGCTGGCGTCGCCAGCATCATGACAGGGCATATGGTTATCCAGGCTTTGACTGGTGACAATAAGACTCCAGCCTCCCTTTCACGGGCTGTGACTACGACCCTATTGCGGGAGGAGCTGCATTTTGAAGGGGTGGTCGTGACGGATTGTCTGGAGATGAATGCGGTGAAGGAGAGACAGGGAGGCGTACCACGTGGTGCTGTGGAAGCTTTAGCGGCGGGTGCAGATGTGGTTATGATTTGCCATACTATGGCATTCCATAGGGGAGCGATGGAGGCGACCTACGAGGCAGTACAGAAGGGTGAGCTGCATATGCACGAGCTGAGGAAAAGCGGAGAAAGGATTACTGCATTGAAACGGAAATTCGCTGGGACATGGGATGACGTGCTCGGGAATCCATTTGACGAGAAGGCCATGAATGCGTTGCAGGCGACGAACAAGAAACTGAGCGAGGAAGCATACGCAAAATCTATCGCGCTTCTTTCCGGATCTCTTCCTGTGTTTTCGTCGGACAAGATTGTGGTGATGACACCCGTCGTGGAAAGCCTTAATGCAGCGGTGGATGATGCGGAAGGTGTACAACGCACCGGGAAAGGCCACGTCCGGAACACGGCGGCGCCTTACTACATGTCTTTCGCTGAGTCCGTGCGACGCCGCGCTGCAGATGTCGAACATTTGGTTTATGCAGCTGATTTTGACTGCAGAAGAGATTTCGGCGAGGGTCTCATATTCGTCACACGTAACGCGGATCGTAGTGCTTGGCAACTGGATGTCTTGGAGAGCGTCAGGATGCAGGCCAGTGGGGTACCGATTGTGGTCCTGGCGAGCTGCGCGCCGTATGAATTATTTTCTGGGAGGGTCTTGGGTGTCCAGGCATGCGTGGCAAGCTTCGAGTACACTAGTGAGGCGTTGGAAGCTGCTGCTAGTGTTATTTTTAACGAGGTCACTCCGGTAGGGGAGTCGCCTGTTAGCATTTGAATTGGCTACCAGCGTTATATATGCCAAGCTGATGAAGGATCGCTGATTCTTATCAGAGATAAGTATGGCGCTATATGTGAATATTAATATTATTTACAGTCGGCCAGTGTGATTTACGTAAGCTACTAGCGGTCATTCAACTTGAAGTACTCATCCACATCCTCCCGACGAAGAAACTTTTTGGATGCGACAAAGCGAAGCAGCAAAGGGGAATTTCGCACAGAGATTTTTATTTTGTCACTGACGATGTAGGTCTCGATCTTTAACTTATTGTTAGCTCGTCTGTCATAATTTGAATTATCACTGACCCGAATTTGACCCGAACTAATGTACATGTATAGGACGCACCTGCGCCTGCTGCACTTGGTGCACTGAAGTCCATCTGGAGCGTGCCCTGCGACAACCACACCCGCATCATGTTCACGAGACAATTCTTTCTCACAGGGACAAGGCAGAGAAATAGGAGAGGAAGAACTTATGATCAGGGACGAAGACGAGGAACGCGGACAAAGGGCCTGAAACTCGTGAGAAGGAGAAGGAATGAATGACAATGACAAAGAGAGACGAGAGCGGCTTTGCCTTTGACGCGGGGAAGCTAATCTCGCGGACCTGACGTGCATGATTGGTGCGTCGTTTCCGCCGATGCCGTGTCTTTCATGTGCGGGGATCTACTGTACTGACGTAGGGTACCTTACGGCTACCTCATCGGAGCTTATGCTTGAGGTCTGCGGCGTCTGCTACTGAAGCGAATGCTAAGGAGATCATGAGCGCCCTCTGGAGGGAATTCAAGTGCGCCTCATAGCCGAACCTCGCTTTCTATCATATGCAGACCCGAAACTCAATTATCAGGGTAAAGACCGTTGCTTTGGCTTTGTCCTTATCTCTCACCTTCGCAAACGCCTACTCGTCCGTTCTCCGGCCAATTTGCATTATGTTTTGCATAATTATGGACAAGAATGTTCCGCAGCGCGTCCGATATCTTTCCAACTCAGATCCGCTGCCGTAGATTTATCGACAAGCTCAAGATCAAATTCTATTGTCGGGGAACGAAGTCTCCGCCTCCATAACTCTAGCTCACATACGTGTTCAGCGATATCGGTTTGCTAAATTTATCATCAATTATCCCCATTTACTGAACATCTTTCGCAACATCTCCTAGATCTACTGTTTACTCTACAGCCCCTTTTTTAAACTCGCCTCCATCGATCCTGAGCGCTGAACTATATCTTCATCTGAACCTGGGTTCTTTTCGCGATACTGACCCGACCTATTGGCGGCCCTTTTTGATAGGTCCTTGCCCCTCACTGAACTATCGTCTTCCTCGCTTAAAGCTCGCAACCATGATAAGGATGGTTTCCGTACCCTATGGATGCGATTGAAACCTGCTGATAAGCTTGATGTGGTGATTCCGTTCGACACCGAGGATGCTATGCTTAACCCCCGTATAGTTACTACGTGTCCACTGATAGAGGAAGACAGCTTTTATGGTTTGTGGTTTATGATGGTACCTATATTCTGTTCGCTGTTTCCCGATGGCACCTTGTAGCGAGTAGCGGAATAATCTCCACCAGCGCGCGCGACGTCATCCATCCCGAAGAAGGCATGAAGCGCTATTCCAAGAATGCAAAATCGCGAGAGCAATTGCGACCGTCCTTAGCGAGATGCTTCCATACAGGAAACCGGAACAGACAGAAGGGGGCGTAATACGGTGCGTGTGATTTCTTAGTTGACCCTGATCTCCATGCTGTCAGTCTGCCACATCACCTTTGCGTGGCACATCGCGACTCCCCTGCCCCCATCCTGTTGGTATCAATTTAATCGATCTATAGGAAGTGCCACGGGTCGCAAGAACTCATATATACCCAAATTCCATGGGCATGAAGGAAATAGACGTATGAAATCGCAGTCTGACATCTAATTCAGTTCTCCGTCGTGTAAAGATTACCATGGCATGGGTACTAAATTCTATAATGCAGAGAGGGAGGAACAGGCTTTAGAGAAGCAGCTTTTGGTGCGTTGCCTGACGAAAAACTGTCCTTGATGTTGAGGATGTATAGGAGCGGGGTTTGTTGAGATTAGTAGGATGGATGTGAAGATGGACCGAAGAGTAAGTGTTTTCTTTCTTTTTTTTCTCTGCGCCAGTCATTCTGTCTTCCGTGTACTGTCAATTTGTTATTATGTTTTCTCCCCTGTTCCTGCTGACTGACAGAGACTGATATTTGGTATAACACATCGAAAATGACTACCTCGGACAATCTCACCACGACTATAGAGACAGCTCCTAGATTGCGTACGCCATCCCCAATACCATCACTATTTATCAAGGACAACAGTCATGTACAGGTCGAACCCAGTCGATGGTATCATGAAGTTGCAGTCACTCTGCGAAACTGCGCGTAACAAGAGCTATCGCTAAGTGAGTAGTGATGCGTATTGCATTGACAAGAATGACAACGTCGAGTTTAAAAAATCACTTAATTCCATGTTTATTTGGTATAGCCACTTGGCACTCACGACCGTCTACGTTCCGGCTTCTTTCAAGTCGTCACGCTCGGAACAACTCAGTTTCATACCCGTCTGTCTGTAGAGTTTGTGCTATGCCATGTTGCCGACGTTAACCATCTACACGAATAATTTTGACTACAGAAAGGCATTCGACCACCATTCATCGCTGCCACCACTTCCTGTACGATTTTTATTCTGTGCGTGACAGTGCAGTGTAGAGAAAATCAGGCCTTTTGACTTTACTCCTTGGGTTTGCTCGATGCATAACAATTCTGTCTTCCAATTGTATACTCGCATAGTCAGAAAGTTGCAATGTAGCCTCGAATCGGAGGAGCCAGTCCAAAAATGTGCTGTTGTAGTTGATCTGGCACAGTAGTAGTGCAGTATTCCTGCTAGGGGCCCAGAAAAGGTTGACGTTACACATCCTGGAATTTGGATTCAACAGTGTTAGATGTTCATCGGGCTGTGCCACTGGCCGTACCAAAGGCGCTTTGGGCATTGAACAGTCCCCGTCATCAGCGGAGCAGCTTGATGCATCAAAATGGCACTCGCGTCCCCGGTGTACATGGCCAGCATAGCTGCTCCTCGTCTTGTTTGCCCAAAGGTGTGTTTCAATTCCAAGTTCCTTGCATTTCTGGATGTCAGCCAAAGGTGACTTCGGGGTAGCTGATTCTTTCCTCTGCCTTGGCTTCTTTTGAATGACGTCCGATGCCCCCTTCTTTGATCGTGCCATGCGGAAGGTAAAACACAAGACAGAGGTGATTGGTGGGACAGTTCCGAAATTTCAGAGGGTGTGATGCCACTCCGTGTTTTAAAATTCACTTGGCTCTCAATTTCGATTGACCTGCACTGTCGTAATGCATAGACTGCACTAGTAAAGCATCACATTGAATTTCAGCTACATACTGAGCACAAGAGTGAGTACCACGTGATTGTGGTGCCCAGCGAGCCCCGATGGAAGATGCAATAAGCATCAGGACCATGGTCATCAACGAAGGACTAGAAAAAATCAAGGATATCATCTACCAAACCAAACACAAGCACATATAGAGGAACACGTTTGTCATCGTGTAGTCTAGCCTGACGACTTTTGACGACGAATAAGGACGAACGAAGTTGCCCGCCCCGCAGATTAGCAAATGTGGCAAGATTATCACGCACAAGTTCAATTGCAGAGTTCCATTCAACCTATGGGCGAACTTTTGGAAGACCACCTTGGCGGTTGGGCAGTAAGCGCATTAGGATGAAGAGGCGTTCAAAGGGTCTATTAGGCAGCAGGCGGATAATCACGCCGAGAGGTGTGGATACGTGGATACGAAGCCAAGGGCGACCGAATTCACCGGGTTGAATATCTGAGCAAAAATGAACACATTGAAGACGAGCGTCTGCACAATGGTGTTATTGCCCGACATCTCGGCAAAGCCCAGGATCTGGGTGCCAAGGAAGTGGAATGGTAGGATGACAGGGATCTGGTAGACGGACTGCAACAAAATTTGTTTGTACATGTTCACAGTGAAAAGTGGTGCTGTCTGCTTATCAGATGTCCAGTTGAGTAACGCCAGCGATGCAGGGTCCGAGGCAAGTGCAAGCGCAGTGAATGTGTCCATGATGATATTGATCCACAACAGCTGAACAGCTGACAGCGCCAACGTCTCAGAACTAGAAGCGATGGCGGTCACGGAGGTGATCACCACAGCAGTAATGTTGGTGGAGATCTGGAACTGTAGAAAATTCAGAACTGCGTCGTTCACACAACGACCCCACATGATTGTCTTGACGATGGAAGAGAAGTTGTCATCCATCAGAATGATGTTGGATGCCTCTTTGGCTACTTCTGTCCCTGCTATGCCCATGGAGAATCATACATGCGCTGTTTTGAGAGTAAATCCGTCATTCGTATCATCGCCAGTGACGGTGACGATCTCCCTGAGTGCACGAAGCTTCTCCACCAGTATCTTGTCTTCAGGTGACGAACGAGCGAGGACCTGGAGCTGTGGAACGATCTCAAGCATCTGCAATTCGTCAAGCTGGCGAAAGATGGGTCCTTCCATGATGATGTTGCCAGCCATGTATATACCGCACTGCATAGCGATTGAACACACAGGCCTCGACTGCTGTTGCTGAACAGATTGACTATTCCAAACCCTGTGAACTTTGCCGTGACGCGACTGCGATCTCTGCATTATGTTATGAACGCTCTGAAGGAGAAATACAGGAAAGATAACATACCCAACATCGCTGAAGTAGAGTACGAATGTGGGCATAATGTGTCCTCTGTTCACGAAGCCCGGAGACGGACAATACAAACCGACTGCTATTTCTTGGATAGTCCCAGTGTGATTCTGGGCCTGCAGGATGCCAGAGGTTCCCGCCTGAGCTACACGAGGTATTCATCGGTGGTCGAGATGAAAATCAACAGAAGCCAGACTTACAGAGACATGATAGACATCGTTGGCTTCTGTCAAGATTATTTTCTTACTGTTTTGCATTATAGCTTGCATTTGTGCTAGCAATTTCGGAGTAGATGAGAGTTGCTCACATTGATATCGACGGAGGTCGCAGCGCTGATGACCTTCCCACTCTCGACCTGGGCTCTGGAGAAAGCAAGCCTATACAATATATATAAGCGACGTTCAAGAGTATTGATCTTTTCGATCATCTTACTGAGCCGTGTAGGTCGTGGTAGCCCAGTATGGACCTGGAAAGAGGGCTCGTATGTAAGTCGGCAATTTGGCAGCAAGAGAATAGGAACACCCACCCGACTTCCCGAATTTGCTGATTTTAGAAAAATTGCAAGGTTTTGAATAGTCTCTAACAGAAGTAGACGCCCTTACTTCCAAACTATCCGGAAGAAGTCTTCATAGATGCCGTCCGGGTTGGGACTCCAGGCGAGCATGATCGTGACCTCCTTGCCGAGGCCGTTGCTGCGAAACGTTGGGTCGAGATCACCGACACTCACGACTGGAAGGTCAAATTCCTGACGAAGGGTCGGGGTGACATTGTTTCGGATTTTTAAAACACAAAGTGTACTAGTAGTTGAGATTGAGTGTGAATTGAAGAGCTCGAGTAGAGTCTCAGCAAGCAGGCTTTTATCTTGACGTTCTGGAGGTGGGCAGGTCTTACTGCTGGTCTTCGTTGGAGAGCATCCTCGTCGGTGTAGTCGGGTGCCCATTCAGATATCACATTATTCTAACCGTGATAAGTGAGAACAGGCATGGGCTCGAAATATGATATAGCAGTTATATCTACCGATATGAAACACTGTACGATTCAGTGGAAACAATATAACGTCAGATTCGGTAACGACTCGTACACGGTTTTTGATGCCATCAGACTCGAGGAACTGCAGCTGGGTACCTCGAGACTGTCGAGAGCGCCAACATGTTGGACAAACAAGGAAAGAAAATCCGGTAGTTCGAACCCGTTCGTTGGCGTGATCCTTGGTTCCACCGTCGTCAAAAATGCTTGTTCAGCGTTTGTCGGCATTCATTGCTGGACATCCCTCCAAGAATGGGACACTGGGTCCAGCCAACAGATTCCTGCTGAAGTGGTCGAGATGAATATTAGCATTAAAAACGGCCCCAAGTCAGATTCAAAAAGTGAAGGGACTCGAAGTATGAGTATGTCACACACTGAACATCCGGATCACCTACAAAAGGCTTGTCCGGACGTGCGCAACCTACTGAGTTGGTTCACCTACAGAAGGCTAGCCAACTCGGGAAGGTGATAAAAAGTTCCACCAAGTAGAACTTGAAGGAGGAACGAGTAAACAAAGACTTACACGAAAGACGACGGCGATGATCCAAGGCAATATCATCATCATATGACGAATAGTAGTGGTGTTTCTAGATGAGAATGTCAGTCAAAGGTATGCTAAAAAGTTTGATTGTACCTTCTAATCACACAAAATCGCAGTGTTACAGCAGCACACCACGCGGGGGGCCAACGTTAGATGGGAGGCGAGTCAGGCGACGGAGAGAAGAAACATTGTGCGTCATGTGACCGTATTGTCTAAGTCACATCTCTGTCGTTGTTTTGGATCGTTTGGATCGTACTCATTCTCCTGTAGTAGCACTAAAGACAATAGTGATATTAACCTTACCTTGCAGATCGACAATGACTACGCCGTACACGCCAACCTCGTTCATTCAAATGACGCCTAGTACACCAGTAACGCCAAGTCCAGCGCCAGCGCCAACACGCGGTCGTGGAACCGGTGCAAAACGCGGCCGCAAGCCTCGCGGTGCATTACCAAATGCGTCCACCGATTCTCGCCCCCCACCACAATCCGGACCCAGTACATCTACGTCTGCAACACGATTCACCCCAGCCCAGTGGGCGACGCCTGGAGTCCCTGCAGGTGCCACTGCCACTGCCTCGACCTCCACTGTGACAATTCCTGCTGCTCAAAGCAGTGCCGCAAATGCTGGTGATGTCTCGATGGACAGTGGGGATGATGAACCTGTGGCGACGCAGCCTCTACCCGTTACTGCTGCTGCTTCTTCGACAGATACGATAATTCCACCGTCTGGGACGGCCGCGAAACCTGCGGGTGCTCCGGATGAGGACGTAGAGGGTGAAGATGAGCTTTTACCTGCAATGGCGGATGATGACTACTCTGCTCAGTTGTCATGGCAGAGCGAGAGCAAGGATAATCTGAAGTAAGTTGTGATATTTTGTTTGATAGTACACCTGCTTATTAAATCGGTCAGGGTGCTTATGGACAATTTCAGTCCAGCACAGTATGAGCGCTTTGAAGCCTATCGACGCCATGCACTACCGAAGCAGGCTATACGGAAGGTGCGAGCTCGCGGTATTGGTATGGCAGCCTCACTTACAATACTATGGATAGGTTATACAACAAACGACAGGACAGCAAGTCTCTCAGCCCGTTGCACAAATAGTAGCAGGTGTTGGGAAAGTGTTTGTTGGCGAGATCGTAGAAAAAGGTACGCCTTTCTATTTGCGCACCCAGTCTTACGTGTTCTTATTTATCTTGTATTTAGCTCGCCAGGTTCAATCACGGCGCAATGATTCTGGTCCCCTCACGCCAGATCACCTTCGTGAAGCGTACCGGATGTATCAGGCAGAGACTGGACGTGTGGGCAGTGCGCGACCAATGCGAGGGAAGCGTCTGTTTGTCAGGTAGTGAGTCAAGCTTTGGTAATGCCATTATATTGCAATCTAGACGTCATTACCACCGAGGGGGCACTTGTTAGCATAGACTCGAGCGCTCACACGCACGTGCACCGCACGCACTTCTGCTATGCAACCTTACATCAATTCATCGACTACTTCACATCGCGCTGCATCACATACATCGCACAGCGGCTAGTACTCTTTTGTATGGCAGTACAAGTTTTTTGTTTCCGCAAAGTTTGTGACATCATGTTGTAATTCGTTGGGGCAACTGTATCTTCCTACTTCTCTTCATGACCATCATCTTCCCGCTAAGTCGCCATCCTCCTACTGTCGCCAACTTCCTCAGCGGATTGTATGAATCTTCGATCTAGGTATGTTATCACCGCATGCATTATTAAGAATGCAGTTAAAATGCGACCAGGTCAAAACAGACGGCAAGTACACACTCCTGCTGAGCGCAGGGAAAATCAAGGTATATTTTCACTGCTTTTCGTGAACACTTTCAAGCCTGTTCTATCTGCAGTCATGTGAAATAAAGGTTGTATACTCAGTAAGTGGAACTCTTCTTTATGTTGTCTAGTTCAATGAATGTATAGGAACGAGAAGGGCTGTCAACGAAGAACAGCGACATCATTGATGGCACTAGCTTCCCCTCATTCCGTACTACCACTTTCCTTGCCATCTCATTATTGCTCATCATGTTGTTTCGTCATTGGATATTGGATCCTCTCGTCTTGCATACCCTTTTCTTGCCTTCCTTGTTGCTGCTTTGTGCTTGCTGTTGCATCGCTTCCCCGCTATCGTGTTTTGCATCGCTGTCGCTATCATCCCATGTCGTGTTTTCTGATTGTGGGTTGAAGTATTTGTATCAGTAGATTATACCCGAATGCAACCGAATACAACCGATTTTGTCGTACCAGTGGAACTCGATTGAAATATGATATCAATATCCTACAACATTCGAGAAGATTGCAACAGATGCGAAATATTCTATCAGTCTCCGCAGCGAGTCTCGAGTGGCTGTGTATGTGAGTGCCAAGACTATTAGTACAACTGCGTTGACCGACGCTGTCGGGAATTGAATATCGCTCGCGACGAGGATATGACTTGTCACGTGATGACAGTAGCTGTGATACACAGCCTCATGTGTAAGTGACTGAAGCTTGTGCCTCATCTATCTACTCCCAGCTCTTTTCTTTCTTTCTATCCTACCAATGAAGAAACTCTTTGGACGTGACAAGGTGAAGCAGCAAAGGATAACCTCGCACAGAGATGTTGATGTTGTTATCGACGATGTGAGTCTTGATCTTCAACTTACTTTTGGCAACAACCATCTATGTCATGACTTGGATCGTCACTAACCTGAATTTTGATGCATATGTATAGGATGCACTACTTGTGCGCCCCAAACGGCCCTCAGAGGACCACCGTGACTGGGAGGTGCTATCTGAGCCCCCTGTCCCTTCTAGTCCGTATCCTCAGTTTGCAGTGCCTCCGATGTCACCGAGCCGCTCGTCTTCCCTAGCTTCGATTCCACCTGTAATATTACCTGCGCGTTCCAGTAGTCCATACAGCATTACAAGTCACACCACCACTACACCTACGCCCATGCCCGCCCCCCAGACTAACCCAAACCCAACCCATACCGTGCGGAGAGACGGGCGGAAGATTCAGAAGACACAGCCTGGGCCTGCTGCACTTGGTATACTGAAGTCGCTCGACCCACATCTGGAGCATGCCCTGCAACAATCACACCCGCATCATGCCCACGAAATAATACCAGACGATTATTTTCCAGTTGATCACAGGGACAAGGCAGAGAAGAAGGAGAGGAAGAGCTTTTGGGACGGGATTATCAGGGACAGGGACAGGGACAAAGACAAGGAGCGTGGGCGTGATAAAGACCGTGAAACTCGTGAGAAGGAAAAGGAAAAGGAAAGAGAAAAAGACAAAGAGGGACGAGATCGTCTTTGGCGCGAAGAAGATAATCCCTCGGAGCTGACGCGCATGATCGGTACGTCACTTCAGCCGATATCGTGTCTTTTCAGAGATTTATACCGACGTAGGGTACCTCACAGCCACCTCATCGGAGGACTGGTCTCTCGTGCTCGAGGTCTGCGAGCGCGCGTCTGCTACTGAAGCGAATGCAAAGGAGGCTATGAAAGCCCTTCGGAGGGAATTCAAGTGCGTTCCATAGCCCAGACTCGCTCTCTATACCATTGACAGGGTATCTGGGATACAGATATGCAGAGCCTAAATCTCAGTTATCTGCTGCTAGGGTAAGCACCACTAGACTCGTTGCTTTGTCCTTGATCTCTCATCTTGGAAAACGTATACTCGGCTGTTTTTCATCCAACTTGCATTATGCTTTGCACAGTTATGGGCAATAATGCTCCGCAACGCGTCCGATATCTTTCTAACTCAGATCAGCTCCCGTAAATTCATCGACACCCTCGAGGACGTGTTGACAAGCTCAAGAACAAGTCCCGTCGTCAGAGAACGACTAATGGAGGTGCTTGCAGCCGCCGCTTTCATCACTAGCTCACGTACGTGTTCGTCACTCCACAATCCCTTTTTAAACCTGTCTCCATCGGTTCTGAGCACCGAGTCGTGTGCTAATTCGAACCTGCGTTCTTTTCGCAATACTGACCCAACCCCCTGGTGGTCCTTTATAGGTCCCCACCCCTCGCCCAAATCTGAACCATCCCCTTTCTCGCTCAAAGATCGCGACCGTGATAGGGATGGTTTTCGTGCCCTGTGGACGCGATTGAAACCCGCTGATAAGCCTGACGTGGGGATTCCGTTTGACACCGAGGATGCTATGTTTAGCCCCCCTATAGTTCCTACGCGTCCACCAATAGAGGAGGTTAGTGCCTTTTTTTGCTTTGTAGATTATGACAAGTGCCCTGATCAATTATCCTGCTCTATTTTGTGTTCGTTCGTCCGGGTAATGTCTTGTCGCGATTAGCGGCCGTCGAAGAAAAATCTCCAGCGCGGTGTCATTCCTCCCGAAGAAGACATGAAGCGCTTATTCCAGGAATGCAAGATCGCGAAAGGGAATGCGACTTTCCTTAGTGAGATGCTTGCATACACGAAACCGGAACAGATAGAAGGGAGCCTAATACCGGTGCGTGTGATTTCTCAGTTAACCTTGATATTCATTTTGCCAGTCTGCTACAATACCTTTCCATGGCATATCACGGCTCACATACCCCGATCTTGTCAATATCGATCTGACTGGTCCATAGGAATTTTTGACAAAGTGCCGCGCGTCGCAAGAACTCATATATACCCAAATTCCATGGGCATCTGCTGGAGCTGAACGGTCGCGCAATGACCGAGAAAAGAATGCAGAAGGAAATGGACGTACGAAATCGCAGCCTGACATGCAATTCAGTTCTCCGCCGAGTCGAGATTACCATGGTATGGATACTCACTTTTCTATTACAGAGGGAGAGAAACAAACTTCAGAGGAGGAGCTTCTTGGTGCGTTGCTTGATGCGAATGAGGCACTTTTTGGGGCGTTGAGAATGTATGATGATGTTGTGCGGCTTGCGGAGGAGCAGGCGGCTGTGGAGATTAGTCGGAGGGATGTGAAGATGGATCGAAGAGTCAGTGTTTTTTCTTATGTTTGCCTGCACCAATCATTCTGTCTGTCAAATCATTATTCTGTTTTCTGCTCTGTATCCCCTTGAACAAGACTAACATTTGCTATAGCACGTGGAAAATGAGTACTTCAGAGAATCCCATCATGATTATGGAGGCGGCTCCTCACGCACACCGTCACCAATGCCATCACCGCCTGGTTCGCCCCGCCAACATGACCTACCTCCCGTTATTCCCTCACAAACCCACCCACTCCCTCGGGTCCCTCCTGCGCTCTCCCCTGGCCATCCGCAATACGGTTCTCTACCACAGTCTATGAGCACACCAACACTGCTCGCACCGCCACCTCCCCCCATGGGTCCTCGTTCTCCTGCATTCCCGTCACGCCCGCCCTCGCCAGATAGGGGTGGCCTCGTGCGTCCATCAAGAGGGAACTCTTTGGAAAATATGGGTGGTGCTTTGGACCGGTTACACGTGGACGAAAATGATGTGGAGGAAGAAGAAACTAAATCTCCCATGCGACCGAGCGCGAAGGCGCTCGGGAAGAGGAGGGTCGTGGAAGAAGTCGATGATGGTGTGTTATGTTCTCATTTGATTGATAACGAAATCATGGTTGACTGATACATTGATATAGAACAACACGACTCGAGTGATTTGTACTACGAGCCAAGGCGTGGATCGGTTGTATTTGAGTCGGATGAGGAGGTACGCGGCGGGGATAACGCTAATGCAATGTGGCCTCGAAGACAACCCACGCAGTATGTATATGATGCGGCTGCTGAGCGCACGGCGCAGCATCTGCGGGAGGGTAGGGTGACTATTGCTGCAAATGGGGTTCATTAGCGTCTTTTGATAATTGTGGTCCTGTTACGAGCTTCATTTGAAGTGTGGTTAGAGGAGCTGTCCATTTTATTCTGTTCTTCATTCCATCATGTTCAACCAATTTGTACGTTAACTTCTGTAGTACTTAGTCAATCATCCAACTTTGCTATTTATGTGTTTTTGGAATTGTTTTCGTTGACTTGGCAATATGATACATGTGTCACAATCCTGTATTCGTATTACCACTTGAAGCTTGAAAGTGGGTTGCGGCGTTTCGGGTCCACGGACGTCTAGCTGACGACTTCCGTGAGCCTTACATCTCCATCACCGTCAGTGCAAGCAACAATTATAATAGACAGCGTATATGACTTCCACATCAGCGTCTGCACTTGTGCAAGAGCTAGATGACGCACCCGACGTACTCACATGGCTCAACGACACACTTACACCACAAGACAATCATGCTCCGCTTGCTTCTCTTGAGTCGCTGCTGGCGGACCTGCTGACCGCCACGGACCTTTCAGCAATAACAACTTCAGCTGCACTCGAACGCACAATCGACGAGGTGTCCCGCAGCGCTCCTCGTCTCACGTATGACCTGCATTTCATGCGTGACGGTGCCCTCACCCTACACTCTGCTCTCGCCACCGTCACTGCCCGTATCCCAGCTGGAACGGGCACTTCTGCTGCTCTCGACAGGTTGCAGACTCTTGACACTGCGAAACGACGGATGGAAGCTGTGAGGGATGTGCTACGTGAGGCAGAGTCGTGGTCCAGCTTAGAGGCTGAGGTCACTGCGTTGCTAGCGGAGCGTGCATATGACAAGGCTGCCGAGAGATTGAACGAGGCTAGCAGAAGTATGCCTGTGTTTGCGGGAACTCCGGAGTATGAGCCTCGTCGTGCGTTGATGGTATCCCTCCAAAACCAACTCGAGGCTGCCCTCAGTTCCGCATTGGTCGGTGCAATCAACTCGGGCGATACGGCGCTTTGCAGGAGCTTTTATGGAATATTTTCTAACATACAGAGGGAGAGTGAGTTCAGGAACTATTATTTCGGCTCTCGGAGAGCAGGGCTGGTTGCTTCGTGGCAGAGCGAGGTCCTGGAAGATACGGAACTGTCAGTGCCTGCGGTGCCGAGACAGACGTTCAGCGCCTTCTGGGCAACTTTTTGCGCCAGTTTTCTGGCCGTCCTCAATGCAGAGCGCACGTCTATTCCTGCCATCTTTCCAGATCCTCAAATCACGCTCTCAACATTCATCACTTCCACTCTGTCCATCCTACAGCCTTCATGTCCACAGCGCCTTGCGTCCCTTTTCAACACCATCGGTTCATCTGCTCTCAAGGATATCATAGCTATCTACAAAACGACGGAGGAGTTCGCGGCGAGCACAGACAAAATCATGGAGAAAATACAGTTCTCTGCCATCCCCACGGACATCACTTTGGATGGCCCTTTGCCTACAAAGCACACCCGCCGCCGCTCCATGCGTATGTCCATGTCCTGGCGATCGAATTCAGCCACGAATTTTTCACGGGCGCAGCAGTCCACACTCAATGATGTACTTGATTGGGACCAAGCACTCTTTCAGGCGTTCCTAGACTTCCAAGTCGACTATGGGACACTGGAGCGGCGCCTCCTCTCTGATGACTTATCTTTTACCTCCACACTCACCCCTAACAAGAACCCAAGCACTGACCCGGCTCGCCTTCTTCGCGAGCGCGCGGTTGATGTGTTTAGTGCTGCAGAGGAAAGCCTCGTACGCTGCATGTCCTTCACATATGGATATGCTGCTCCAGGACTCATGTTCGCGTTGGACTCCTCTCTTGCTTCGTTTGTTGACTCCTGGACCCAATCGCTGACTGCGAATCTTTCTGCTCCTTCGGGTGCCCCAGCAGAATCCGGAGATGACCTCGCAGATCTGGATTACTCCCCGCAGGACTGGAGCAACATTCAACTCATCTTGCACCTCCTCGCGTCTACACGAGCGGTGCTTGATCGGCTCGGCACTTTTGAGGGTAAGCTGCGAGCTGCGCTCGTGCAGATCGCCACAGCATTCCGACTGGCGCAGCACGAAGGCGGGGTGTATACACCTGGTGCAACCAAGGGTGCTGGTTTGCTCCTGGCGCAGTCTTCCCTGAACAGCGCAACTTTGCACGATCTCTTATCATCCGCAGAATCCCAACCCCCTGTTCCACTACTCACTACGACGCGGACATCCATTGCGTCCCTTGCCAGAGCCCTTCAGTCCTCCCTGCAGCACACCCTTCTTTCCCCCTTACATACACATCTCTCATCCTATGCATCCCTTGCCCTCTGGGCGGTACCGGGTGATCCAAAATCTATGCGCACGACCGGCGATCTGCACGTGCCTGTGTTTTCGCTTTCCCCCAGCGATATCGTCCAACGCGTTGCAGAGGGGCTGTTGAATCTGCCACGGCTGTTTGAGGTATATGCAGACGACGATGCACTAGGCTTCTCGCTTAACACACTCCCGAATGTCGATGAAGCCTATCTGAGTGGCCTGAGTGAACATATGCATGCCCAACCCTCTGAGCTTGGGCACAACCGACGACTTTCACTCATCTTACCCCCCAAGCCGGTAGTACTGAGCCCAGAGGCAGTTGCAGCAGCCTGGCTGTCCTCCCTCGGACATTCTATTCTATCGCACCTTACCAGCAGCGTCCTGCCGAGGATCCGTACGCTTTCCATCGCAGGAGCCGCACAACTCTCATCGGATCTTGGTTATCTGTCGAATATTGTGAGGGCACTCAATGTTGAGTATGAGGAATTGGATAGGTGGAAAGAGTATGTGGGGATGAACGACGAGGAAGGAAGTCGGGTGGTTGGAGAGAAACTACCTGGAGATCAGGTGTTAGTGCTGGTAGCGAAGATGAGAGGGTGGACGTGACGATACGTAATTGCTGAGTTTTTTGCTTGTCTCAGCCAGATGTATACTCGGGCTCAACTACGGAGACAAATTCAGTTGAAATGTTCAAATTACGAGGTGAAAGTGTGAGTATATTAGAATTAGTGTCGACCTATGACATGGACAACTCTGCATATATCAGGAGCGGGTCACTGCATATTCTGATGCTCTTGTATGGTATTTTCTGTAGCTGAAATCGTAGTACGTAGTAGACACAACATTATCTGCACGTGAATAGATAGCGCACTTCAAGAAGAAGTTCGTCATGCACTGATCATCATGATGCATGTTTAAATAACTAGTGGTGATATATGGTACAGATCAGCAGATGCAAAGCAAATAAAAACTATCGTGCATATGGATGGAATGAATGCTGTCCACGACTCGACATTCTCGATGGACCCAGTCCCTGGTTCATTGGCATGCGCCCTGCATTCGCGTTCGGGGTAACAGCGCCAGTCATGCCCTGCCGCATGCGCATCCCCATGTTGTTCATCCCCATTCCTACACCTGCGCCCGTAGTGTTCATCATCCCCATCCCTGGCATTCCCATCCGCATGGCGTTCATACCCATACCACCCATTGGACTTATACCCGCCATCATGTTCATCCCCATGCCGCCCATACCACCCATACCGCCCATACCACCTACACCGCCCATACCGCTCATACCATTCATGCCTCCCATACCTCCCATGCCCATGCCCATCATCATGGGGTTCATAATGCCCATGTTCGCTGCTCCCATCATGGGCATTTGACTCATCACACGCTGATAAAGCATGTTGGTGGCTGCGGGGTTGGCCTGTGGTGGGAAAGCCATCGCGGACGTGTTGGGCGTGCGTGATTCGGAGTCATTGAAATAGGGCTCGCGGCTACCCTGTTGCATGTTTCGCGCCTGATCGCGCTGGCTTCGAGGTTGAGCAGCTTTCACTTCAATCTGTCGACATGTTGAGAGGAAAATGTGTTCGGTAAACGCATCAATACGTACCTGCTTATCATCCAACATCAACCCGAGTTTTCCCACAAACTCATCAGAATTATTCGAATCCTCAAAAGTTACAAAGCCAAAGCCTTTGGAACGGCCCGACTCGCGATCGACCATGACTGTCGCATCGACGACTTTGCCAAACCGCGAGAAAAACTCGCGCATTGTGTCTGCATTGGTGGTGGGAGCGAGACCACCAACAAAGTACCGCGTGTTTCTGAGGTGCTCTTCTCTGGGAATCGCGCGTTTCGGGTCGATCTATCGGCGACATTAGTGAGATTGAAAAAAAGATGCAAGACGGATACACTGACAGCTTTCCCGTCCAAGATATGCTCCCTTCCGGTGACAGCATTCACGCTTTCCGGTTCTTCGAAGGTCAAGAAAGCGAAGCCCCTTGAACGGCCATCCGGGTCACGCATAATGGTACAAGCATCCACCTTAAATGCTTATCAGCATCATAACCCGAGCACAACATTCATCGACAGCTTAAATCCAAAAATAAATTACCTTGCCAAACTGAGAAAAATACGTCCTCAGACCCTCTGCTCATAGGAAGGACAACATAGGATAGTAGTCAGTAAATAGAACTTGATTGTCATTGCATGGGTGTATACCATCTGTAGTGTCCCAGTTAAGGCCGCCAATAAACATTTTGCTATCGGAGGTGACGACCGTAAGTGAGGCAAGGATCCGTAGGTGAGGCATGTAGTAAGAGTAGAGCGTGTCGATGGGTCCAAGGAAGTATCCAGAAAGATATAAGTGATTAGTGACCAATTATAGCAAGTAGCCATGAGAGTATGAAAGACAGAAGCATAGGCGATGCGCAGAGTGTAGGTGCAGATAGTAAGCTCGACTGTAAGCAGTGGTAGCAGTGCAGCAGCATGTACTGTAACTGTCAGGTTCCCATTCGTTCATCTTTCATGAAAGAACGACAAGGGTAAACTATCGTGCAAGACATAGCGGAGACTGAGTCTAGAAGTGCTTCGCCCAAGAAAATACAGGCACAAATAACCATACATGTGGTAAGCATGTACTTACCCTTCGTCTTTCATTTCTGAAGGTCGGATAGGCCTGTCCGCATGACTGTCGGTCGGTCCTTCGTGCGTTGCTATTGCCGAAGGCCCACTTTGTGCACTCGGGTTTGGTGGGAGGGGTAAAGGTGGTTTCTGGATACGCTCCTGGCTCGGTGTCTGTTGGTACGCAGAGAACTGCTTTGCAACCTGCGCCGAATATGACAAAGGGTCGTTTTTTGAAGACTGAGGTTTTGCAGGTAGAGATGGACGCCGACATGGTCGTTGCTGAAACCTCCATTTTCACAGGCTCAGGGTTCTTGTCTGCTTGCGGAGGAACCTCTGTGGTAGGGGAGGCCTCATCATCCAGTGGGACAGTAAACTCGTCATCGTACAGGTCTGTAGAATGTAAGCAGTTGCCCTAGAGCCGGTGACATGCAACAATGCTCACCTCCGTAGAGGTCAGAATCTGGATTTTCCTTGGAGCTGGTCATGTTCAAAAATCCGTTAGTAAGTCGAGGGCCTGTCCGTGTGGATGATATTACTTGTCGTGGTCACCAAGTGGTCACTGTCCAAGGTAAAGAATCAAAATACCGAGTCCTGTGCACTTTCAGGAATGATGCTCAACCAAACAACCTATAAATAAAGCTTATATTTATAATATAGAAAATAAAATACAGAAATAATAAACAATTTTTGCTTGCTGAACTATAGAACTACGGATGCGACTAGGGTGGTCACGCGGTCACGTCTGCCTCACGCCAGGTCAAGTTGCACGTCTCATGCACAGCAGATAGAATGCTGGACTGCCGTGTTGGCGATAGTATTAGTAAGGGGAAAGAACTATTGTGGGCGACCGGAGCACGCAAGGGTGTAAGGTCACTAATTCTTACTATCTGGACGTGGTTTACTGCGATCTCCTCCATAAATGCCTCCTGTCTACAACATGAAATACATAATTCTTTATTCCAACATCGGAACCTAGTCATACTGATGTACATTCAGTACAATGCCTTGATGAAAGTACATGCGCAGATATTGACTGAAAGTAAGAATAGCTGACGTGACAGAAAAATGACAGGACGTGTGCGACAATCAGAAGTGAAAGACCTTGATAACAAGCTGTGTGAAAATCGCGAACGGAGGATATGGCCAAAGCAGACACCTACGTTTACTGATTGGAGACCTTGAAAGATGTAACCTGGAACGTGCATTAAGAATCGGAGAACTGCAAGGGCGCTGCATGATGAACGTACTTGCTCCTCACCCATCGCAGCGGTGACTGTGACCATAACGGTGTCTGCGACTTCGAAGCCAGCTAAGATCTCCTCACCGAGCTTGCTGTCAGGAAGCTTGACATCATCCTTAGTACCTCCGTCAGCGTTCATGAGATTGAGGAAGCCGTCGTCGACACCGAGCTACGGGGAGTTTGAGTAACCACAGGAGACGAAGGTAAACAGCGTACTCACAAGCTGGTACTCAGTACGGTTCACGTTGGGAACGTCCATGTTGTGGGTGGAAGGGGAAATATCTTCCTATAAAAAGGACGATACGGAAACCATAAGCGGTAGCGCTTATGACGAAGTCAACTATTGATACTTTACCATCTTTTTGTCAGTGAAGATCTGTGTGATCGGAAATTGAAGCAGCAATTCGTAGGTTTAGTGGAACATAGACGCACGTCGACACCGACGAGATGGACCTTTGCGTGACCGTGTTTCCCGGTCTTAGAGGTGGACATCTCAACGATCTTGCAGGGACGACCTGGAATGAGGTTGTCGGGCCGGCAATGCAGGGTAGATACAGTCTAGCGCACCTTTTATGACAACGTGACCGTTTTTGCGGAGCGCAGAACATTGCATAGGGAAAGTGAGCGAGGCACCTGCGCTAGCCTAAATGATGATCATCGCGAGATCAGTTGTCTAGCATGATCGCGAAACATTGTAGATAAAATAAGCAGACCTGCTCGAACTGCTGGTTGTGTTGCTCATCGTCAGACATGATGACAGAATAAGAAGAGAAAACAAAAAATCTATGAACTGGATAAGAGGGAGATGGCGATGGACGAAAGATTTGGCCTGTAGCAAAAAAGCGATATAGCTTTCAATCTCCGATGGATGTTTCCCGTTACTCCTCCGAAGTACATAGTCACGCATAAGCGACAACGAACGACCATCTTTCAAGCTTGCACCAATCTGTAGCTCGACCTCGATCAGGTACAAGTCGGTTATATTACATAGCTGCCATGCACCCGTTTGGCGGTACACCGATATGTCCTAGATGCAACAAGGCTGTTTATGCTGCAGAACAGGCGAGCAGCCTCGTTTCATGCTTCGTAATTTCTTATTGATATCCGACAGGTGATGGGACCTGGTAGGAAGGTGGGCTGATCGATAGTACTCTGCAATACAAAATGTTATTAATCAACGTAATCAGCTCTATCACAAGGTGAGTTCACCCACACGCCTAGGTTCGTGTGATTTACAACAAATCCGGTCAGCCTTGCCTGGCCTGCACGACATGTAATAAGAGGTTAGACTCATTCACGCTTCTTGAACACGATCAGGAGGTACGTTCTGCCTATGAGGTTGCTATGCATCATGTAGCTTACCCTTTCCTGCTTAGCCATACTGGTACCCCCCACAACTCTTCATATCTTTCAATCGTTGATCTGAGTTACAGCAAAACATGTCACGTTCGAAATTTCGGCACTCGCGACCTGAGACATGCCAATCTCCCTCATCGCGATGACATGGCCACACCTCCACCACTTCCTGCATCACCTGTGCGCAACTCCTTCCCTGCACCCACTTTCATACGTGGTGAATCAGTCGATCTAAGCCAGCGACATGGTGCGCGATCACCGGTGCGCGCGCAAAACTCAAGCACAGGACGCTATATGAATGGTGCCATGTCGCCATCGCCCATCCTCAAAGCGAACTCGGTCCTCCCCGCACGGTTCAATCGCTCACCCAACAATCCTATTGTCGAGCTTAGCTCTGAAAACACGAATCAAACCGTCAACACAATCTTGCACCACGAGGGGGTGAGAGAAGAGACGCCGGCAGAATCTACGCCATCTCCAGCCCTTACGTTTACGGGGACAGCTACTAGCACAGTACGCATTGGCGACATGCCGCGTACTGTCCCACTGAGCCCAACAAAATCAGCAAGCAATGGAACTAATACTACGTCTACCCTGAAATTATCTTCTGTAACACTTGCACGCTCAAGTTCATCTCCGATGACGCCGTTGCAACCAACTTCTACCGGCACAAGGTATGGCGTGGCATTTGGTAGCGGTGGCACTCCTGTAAAGGCATTTTCTGCGGGCGCGACTCCAACATGTCCGCGGTGTGGGAAGAATGTTTATTTCGCTGAACAGGTAATTTTTATCGAGGGGCTGGTGTGAATTTGATTGACATGTGTGGGATAGATGAAGGCCATAGGAAAGACTTGGCACAAGGGATGTTTGAGGTGCAAGGAGTGCAACACTCCGTTAGATTCCAGCTAGATTGACCGAGAAAGACGGGGATCCCCTTTGCCACCGATGCTACTCAAAGGTACGGTCATCCCTTCTTTTTTTTTTTGGTTTTCCACATTTCTTATGTGCGATGTAGCTGCACGGACCAGCAGGAAATGGCTATGCTTTGCTCGGCAAGGCCGGTGGTTAGGCATGTATGTCGGTGACTCGGCACACCCGACTGCACAATTAGTACCAATTTTCACTGTCATATAAATGGACGTTATGTGTTTCTGTTCACTGTTTTCTTGATTTTCACGAACTGTTGTTTTCCGATGAGTTATTACTGTACTGCCACCCATTTTCAATTGATGGTGTATCAATACCTTCCACTGTCTCCGCTAGTATTCGCTTTCACATCCACTCGTCCATAGATTGTTCAATGCTCACCATTTTTGTCGAGTTGCCAAGCTTGTGGTACTGTCATGTTCATAGATGAGTATGCAATAAACGGTCTCATGTATCTCGAGGGACGAGATGAGCTCAGGGTACCGTATGTCAGATCATCATAAAAGACAAGAGAATCTTCGGCAGATTAGAATAGTGGTGTAGCTCCAATGGAAGAATCATTCTAAGATCGACAAACCATGGAGAATAACCACCTGACAATACTTCACATTCAAAACATACAGAGGGTATATCCTGTAGATCCTTCTACTACTACACATACAATCTTGTTGTACAACCAAAAACTCGAGTTACGACCAATCCTCATGGCGAGCAATTCAGCAAGTCAAATCAATGATGTCGTTCTCTACCACGACTATTCTCGTTGATTGGCCCTTGAACGTCGACTCGACTCGGCCATGGCGTTTGTTTTTCACGTGAGATAAACTATTCCCATTCTTGGCTTTCTCTCTGGCCAGCAGCAGGGGTGCCTTGACAGAAAGTTTTGTGGGTGGTAATGGCACGTCGGAATCACTAGAGATCTCAATGACATCGTCAAACTTGTGGATAGACTGCACGAGTGATGGTGAACTCGGGCGCGTGATCAAGCCTGACGAGCGCGGGGATGTCCGCTGCGGCGTTTTCCTTGGAGATCTGGTTACAGCGGATTGGAGGGATTCAGGGTCGGACGATTTGGTATGCTTCTTAGAGCAGGTTTGTGAGGACTGCTGGGGCATATAAGAGCGAATAGAATTCGCGGGCTCTATGAAAAGATCGTCAGAAGTACTGATGAAACCTGACATCGGGAAAGGGCGAGGAGCATGCGCGGTGACACGGGGTTCCACAACTGCTTTCTTTGGACGGACTGTCGTCTTCTTCGGAGGGGATGAAAGTGGGAGAGCATCTGTATCGCTGCCGCCTTGTGCGATGGAAACATCTTTCTTTTTCCTCTCCGTCATGTTCGAGATATCAATGATGTCGTCAAGCTTGCGCATCGGCTGTATAAATGATGTTGAACCTGTGGGCCGGACTAAGCCTGATGAGCGCGGGGATGTTTGCTGCGATGATTTTCTTGGAGACTTAGTTATGTAGGATTGTGGAGAATCTGAGTCAGATGAATTCGTATGTTTCTGACGACCAGTTTGGGGCTGCCGAGATGTATCAACATGAACAGTACTCTCAGGCTCCAGGAAAGGATCGTCAGAAGCATCGGTGATTGGGAGAGAGGGAGGAGCAAGCCCGCTGTCCTGCCGTTTCACCACGGCTTTCTTCTGACGGGTAGGTTTCTTTTTCGTAAGGGCTAGAACAGGGAGGGAATCTCCATCGCTATCTCCCTGCGCAGTGGACGCAGCCTTCTTCTTCCCATCTGTCTTATTTGATCGCTTGGTCTTTTTCTCGAGCTTTCTGCGCTGAATTTCCTCAAAGGCTTCGACGAGCTCCGGCTCCACGGTTTGCACCATACATGCTGGCATCCACACACGAAGGTGGCTCTTGGGATCTGGTGGAGGTTTCTTTCCCTTTCCCTTGCCCCTTTGCTTTCCGTCATCCTCATCCTCATCTTCATCATCCCCTTCGGTATCATCGAAGGCAGCATCTACCTCGATTGGGGGCCTGATTCCCTGAACGCCGCCTCCAGCTAGTCGTACAAGCTGCGCAGGGGCGATCTCCAGCCGGTACTCAAGAATTCCATCTGTAGACGCGTGTCGTCGCGAGGAGTGAATCTTGACAATCAGCCTATCTTCCTCTGCTTCAGATTCAGTATCACTGTGCTCTTGGTCCTTCCGGTTGTCTTTGGTTGGAGAGTGGAGCTTCATCGACGAAAAGTACTTTGTAATCATCTTCGAGGGCGTTCCCGGCGCAAGTTTGCCTGTTGTCTTGCTCTTTTTAGGGCTCATCGGTAAACCTCTGCATTTTTTCTCGTCCTTTTCTATTGCACCACGCCGCAGGATACGTTGCACAGCGCTTGGCCACAAAACTGTGCGAAACCGCTTGATGATCACGTCCTTCACACCCCATTCGAAGTACAGTTCGCAAAGTGAAGAAATTTTACCAATGTCGGGCTCTTGTTCCCAAGTGATGTCTCGCGTGGGTTTACCCTCTGTCTCGCTCGTGATAGGATTGGTGTAGGATAATAGAATATCGACATTAGGAAAATCATCAGGAATCTTCTTTGCGAGTGCAGGTTTCTTCGATCCGATGAGGCCACTCTTGTTCGTACGCAGTTCCTCGCGCACTTCATCACGCCAAGTGTCAAGCCATTTCTCTAGCTCCTCGCGGGTGAGGGAGTTGGCAGCTTCTAGCAGTTGGTCTCCGAATCCACAACGTGCGAGGGCAGCGGCAATGAGCTTCCCGCAGCCTTGGACACCAGCCTGATGGTAGTCTCCGCCGGAGAGGAGGCCAATTAGAATACAGCCTCCTTGCGAGAGACAGATATCGTCGTGGGAGAGGATATCAGCGGCGCGATACGTCACGACGTGGTTTCCGTCATCACGTCCGTCGGCGTTTCTCACTGGGTGCGCCCGGTTTCCGGACAGTGTATTACTAGGACTATACAAAAGTCAGCTTTCGACGGTATGCTCAGGGTGATAGGATTTACTTGCGGATAACCATAGTGGCACCAAATAGAAAGTTGTCAACATCATCGGAGAGGACAGCATCGATGATTCCCATACGATTCAGGTACGCAAGCTCAGCTTCGGCCTCGCCAGGAGCCTGTACATCATAAATCTTCTTTTCGTCATCACTTTTCGCGTAGACGCACCGTTCTCCATTCAAAACCAAAAGCAACGATGATATTTTTCATTCCAGTAGTGAGCCAGTGCGCGTTGCCGCTTACTCTCTTCCCGCGTTTGACAGAAGGCCTTTTTGGACCATCGAATACGAAGAGTGGGAGGAGAGGCATGCTCATGAGTCTGGAACAGCGAAAGAAGAGTGTACGCAGTTCCGGATTCTCTCCTTCTTTACCGTACGCGGCATGAAAGAACCAAATTGAGGCATCAATGCCTATGCGAAAGCCTCGTCGACCACCGGCATTTGCTTCAAATCCTTGGGTAACAGATAGATGTGTTAATGACTGTGTTTGCCCAGCAGGTCGTAGCACCTATTAGACCGTGACTTAGAGCAAACTTTCGTATCAACTCATGCAACAAACCTCCCAGAGTCCCGCTACACCCATATCCTGCAATAGCCAAAACAGAGATCACAAGAAAAGGAAAGGTATCGATGATCGCAAGGCAGCCTCAGTTCAACAGTAAGTGAGTTGCAGTAAAGTTGAATGTCATGCATGCACGTGACCGCGCCGGTCCCCAGCTCGCTCTCTCCAGAGTCCGGACCATCAATCTATTGACACACTGACTTAAGTATACTACTACTCAGACTCCAAACCATCGGCAGAGGTGTGAGAGAGTCTTCATACTGTTACCTTAGCCGAAAACCAAATATGTACAACATAATTTCAAACACCGCAACTTTGAGACTCTACACACCAAGCCGACTGGCAAAACTTGTAGTGGCGCGAGGTTTGTATGTATTTGTCCCACCGAAAAAGCCTTCCGAGCGCGCTGACATATCCCAAAAGAAATGGGAGCAATCGAATATTATTGTCAAAAATCTTTAGCGTGACGTGCCTTTAGTGACATGATGGATAATCCCTTTCTGAGACTTAACATCTTCTAAGTCACGTATCTTGATGTCATCGCCAGCTGGCCGGTTCGAAGTACCGAGCTTTGCAGAAATGAAACGCATTGCAGAAATGAAACTGGGTCTTACTCCTTGTACTTGGCAACTCCAGTCCGCTCACAACCAGCTTGAGAACAAAGATGTCTTCACCATCTCACCCACCGGCTCAGGAAAGACTCTTACCTTCTGGATTCCCCTGTTATTCAACAATGGTGGAATAACAGCTTCTTCATTCACGTCGTCTTCTTCGCGCATCATTCCTCCAATGTCGTCACCTCCAAATTCTCCAAGGTCCCTCTCTTCAACATAAATATCCATGTCCTCATTGCCCACCTTCACATTCCCACCCATAGCTCGCCGCTGCTGAAGTGTGCTGTCGAGCAGTGTGAAGAATAGATGCCACAGGTTAGGTGCCACCTCCTGCATTTTTTCTGCGAGCTGATGCATGAATGCACTCTCCAGTTGTTCGACAGTTGCAGACGTGGCTTTGAAACGAAGTCCGTGCTTTTCGAGTGACAAATCTGTCACCTCAGTGCGCAGCATGTCCCGCACGATTGTTATTGCCCACTGTGTTACATGTGAGTGCGCATGTTCTTCTCTGTACAGGGCAGCACATATTCTAACTGCCTTCGTTGTTAGCGAGTTTCTTGCGCTCTCGTGTTCTGTGCTTCCGAGAATGTGGTTGATGAAGTCTGCTGGAGTGAGAAAATTTTCTTCCATACATGCAAGCACGTTGTCCAGTCGGTCTGCGAGACTTGTATCCATCACGAGCGCAACAGCACGAAAGCTAGGACTCTGTCTTTTGTTTTATGCATTTTCTGCCATTGTTCTCTGCACTGTTAATATTTAATTATTATTATTTCCGTCACATAATTAAACAATACCATTTGTCTTTTTATAAACAATGTGACATCAGTTAATATTCGATTGCTCCCATTTCTTTTGGGATATGTCAGCGCGCTCGGAAGGCTTTTTCGGTGGGACAAATACATACAAACCTCGCGCCACTACAAGTTTTGCCAGTCGGCTTGGTGTGTAGAGTCTCAAAGTTGCGGTGTTTGAAATTATGTTGTACATATTTGGTTTTCGGCTAAGGTAACAGTATGAAGACTCTCTCACACCTGCCGATGGTTTGGAGTCTGACTACTACTGGGACATGTTCTTGCTGCAAGAAATTAGACTTTCGAGATAGGTCCTGTCCCACAAGACATCATGGACAAGCAGGCAATCTTGCTAGTTTTCAAGTTTACCTCCAACTTTCAGCAGAGAACCTAAGTAACCCAGTAAGTTCTCAATCGACTGAGCCAACTCGGATTCAGCGCTCAGGTGAACTTTGCGGTTACCCTCAAAATTCATCTCAACGATCGACCACGACCGTCACTACCGCCAGCTTGCAAAATCATGTCATCACCAGTTGAGCCTTCCATGATATAGCACTATGAAACAATAGTGACGATTTGAATGGTCTGCTGGGGTTTATGACAATTATTGACACCCAAGTATCGGATAGTTAGAAATGTGTCATGAACTGCGTGAGTCGAAAACGGAACACTAGTATTAATGTAGCTGCCCCTCCATTTGCTATAAATGTTCAAGATACACACTTTGGGCTTAGGCCTTGGACTGTTCACGAATGTGATAAGCAGAATGATTGCTTTGACGTTTGAGGGTAACAACAGGGAGTCTGAAAACGTTAGTGAATGACCTTTATGAAAAAGAAAGCTTTTGGTAGGCAGTGGCCCATGCAGGCGCGAATCGGGCACAATGTGCAGATCGCTGCCGGGTGTGTGATCAAAGAGTCAGTTGCAGGGGGCGAGGGTTGAGAGTCAGTAGGTGTAGGGTAGGGAATGGATAGTCAGAGATTGTAGTGGTGACAAATGGCTGTAGTACCTAGAACAAAGCGCAACAGTACTAGCTTGAGTAGCACATTTGAAGAATACTCAAATAATTAGACAGGCCTAAGTAGGGGGACCAGCAAAGGGGCCACCAGTACCTTGTACTTAGTGAATCGAGACATGCGGCTGCTGACGAGCCTCGCAGTTTGGCGAAGCTGAATTGTAGCCACGACAGACCACAATGCGGTTGCATGTTATGATCACACTGGATCTGAGCTTGTTCCGATAAACAAGGTAAGGCCCTCGTGGAATTTGATGGAGGAACTGACAATAGCCCGAAACGTTGGAGTTGAGTGAAAGAAGTGTTGAAGTTGATTTGTCAGCAAGCTCATTTTTGAGCGGAGCCCATAAACGACTGGAGACAGGGTTCGGAGATTGATTTACATCTTGCTCAGCATCCTCCAATCCAATTCTTTGCACTCGCCGTCACGCTCTCGAGCCTTTTCCTGTTGACATCCCAGTTTAAAAATGTGGAGGCCTGCTACTCGCGAGGTTACTGGAACAAATGAAGGTTGGTCCAGTTTTTGTGGTAGAACCTTAAATTATCTCACAAATGGTCTGTCAGTTCCCCTGGGCACCCGTCGTCGGTTTGGACCCGCACCCGCAGAAGAAACTTCGCGCCCGCAACTTGCCCAGCCATCTCCCTCTGCATATCCAAAACAGTCCAATCAAGACCAAGACTCGAGGAGAGGGAGGGAGGAGACCCCCACCAATTCTCAGGGTAAGCCCATCATTCTTGAACACCGACTTCCCAAGTCGTGCTTCCTTGCCAAGCATTTCTCTATAGCAGGTCCTGTGAGATTTGCTGGTGATCCTGGCAGCTCGTCTGTTGCGATTGCTGTTACAACCTTACTAATCACTAACTGACTGTGTTACTAACCCTGATACCATGTGCTTTTCACTTACCCACAGCTGACGCTAATGGTGCTCGCAAAAGGCGCAGCCGCTGGGGAGAAGCAAAGACAGACATCCCTGGTTTGCCCACTGCCATATCCGCTGCCGGTGTTTCTCAGGCACAACTCGACAATTATGCAATTCACCTTAGGCTGGAAGAGATTAATCGTAAGCTGCGGCTAAATGATTTCATCCCTCCTGAGCGTGAGCGGTAAGTTTGCGATAACCTGACTTCTACAAACCCATGTGCTCATTCTGGCATCAGTTCACCCTCACCACCACCCACATATGATGGTCATGGTCGCCGTACTAACACCCGCGAGGTCCGCTATCGTAAGAAGCTCGAAGACGAGCGGATTCGCCTTGTCGATCGCGCTATGAAGAATGATCCCAACTTCCGCCCTCCTGTCGAATACCACCAGCAAAAGCGTTCTCAACGTCCATCTGAAAAAGTTTACATTCCTGTCAAGGAATTCCCTGAAATCAATTTCTTTGGTCTTCTTGTCGGTCCTCGTGGTAACAGTTTGAAGAAGATGGAGAGGGAAAGCGGTGCCAAAATCAGTATCCGCGGCAAAGGAAGCGTAAAGGAAGGCAAAGCTCGACCTGACCAGTACGCTGACGATGCAGAAGAAGATCTCCACTGTCTCGTTCTCGCTGACTCTGAAGAGAAAGTTGCAGCATGTGTGAAGATGATCAACAGGGTCATTGAAACAGTAAGAAGTCCACTTTTCCACCATTGATCTTTTACTCAAAGTTTTCTAGGCTGCCTCCACTCCCGAGGGTCAGAATGACCACAAGCGTAATCAGCTCCGCGAGCTTGCTGCATTGAACGGTACCCTTCGTGACGACGAAAACCAGATTTGTCAGAATTGTGGCGGTCTCGGTCACCGAAAATACGACTGTCCAGAGCAGCGCAACTTCACAGCTAACATCATATGTCGTGTCTGTGGTAGTGCAGGCCACATGGCGCGTGACTGTACCGTTAACAAGGACCCCAACGCTATCGTTATGGGCAGCCCGCCTCCTATGAACAAGGGAGGGTTCGACTCTGAGTACGCTAGCCTGATGGCAGAGCTTGGCGAGAGTGGCAGAGGCACAGGCGGCGATACTGCCAAGAGCTCGTGGGGTGCCCCTAGCGCTGGTCATGACATTACTGCAGGCGGGTCCAACATTCCACCTTGGCGTCGACCAGAGTCCTGGCAATCCAACAATCCTCCACAAAATCAAGGATACCGCCCACCCCAAGCTTACGGTGGCTACAGCGCTCCTGGGTACAATGCGCAGTGGGGCCAGCAAAGCTACCCAGGTTACGGCTCACAGGATTATGCAGCGAACTACGCCCAGTACTACCAACAGCAATATGCTCAGCAACAGCCCTCTTAGTGACGTCTTTGCCTGCCGGTAAACTCACCTAATAGCGCCATAATTTCCGCCCACTTGACCAAGATTTGTTTCCGCATTCATCTCTCACAACAGCTCGTTCTTCCCTCATTTTCGGGTGAACCCTGGAGTTCAGGAATCGTACTCACTGCAGCTGACATCCAGCATTGTTTAGGACCGTTATTGATAGCAGGGTAGCTCTTATTGATTGAATTGATTGTAGCTCACGATTCCTTGATGAATTTCATCCTATGAATTTTCAAGCATCATGCCTGGACCGTGCCGTTCCCTGCGAGCTTGAGCTTGAACGTTTGAACCCTCATAAAAT